TAAGTTAAAAGACCTCGTCAGAAATGAGCCTAAACTAGGCCACGCATTCAAAACTTTGTCCTGATTTGGGAGATGGTTGGTAGCCTCAAAGGAAAAGCCTGGTACAGTGGAGTGATTGCATGCATACAGCCCTGGGCTCAAATCCCAGAACCAAATAAACCAGGTGTGGTGGCATATCCCTACAATCCCGGCACCAGATGTGGAAGCGAGAGAACCAAAGTTCAAGACCAGCCTCAGCTACTTAGTGAATTAGCTGTCAGGCGGGGTTACGTGAGAGCCTGCCTCAAACCAAAGAGCAAAAGCAAGCCCAAACAAAACAAAATCAAACACACTCCCCAAAACACACACAAAATAAATCCACGTACTGTCAGGTTAAATGAAAAGGATATGAATCCTGAATACTCAAAGAACGGTTACAGCTCTGCAATAAGAGGACAAATAACGCAGTTTTACACTGAGCCAAGGACTTGAATTCACATTTCTACCAGGCTGTGCAAACTAATAAGCTCCTGAAAACAGGCTCGGCCACATCAGTGTCCAGGGACTCTGCTGAAGAGTTAAAGGAGCCCCCCTGCAGATCTCAGGAAGTCTTCCTCTACACCACTCTCTCTTTCCCCTACTCCCTGCAAACTCCAGCCCCCTAGCACACACTGAACGTGTGCTCCGTTGTCTCGGAGCCTGCCAGCTCTGTCTGGATTCTCCCTTCCTGTTCCACAGTCTGAAAACTTCCTTGAGTCAGTAGACTGGAGGAATCATGGGATTGAATATTCACTCCCACCCCACCTTGTCTCTCTCATCGTGTATGTGCTCACCCACTTTTCCCCGTTCCTTGGAAATAACTGTCTTTTGGCACTTGAAGTCCAGTGCCCTAAACACTATTCATACATTTGGTCTGGTTTATTGTTGTTTTATGTAGGAGTGTAAACTTAGATCCTATTATTACATCCAGCAAAAGTCTCAAGCACACACAATACAACCTCCATAACTACTGAAGAGCTAAACTTATAAATAAGGAGAAGAGTTATGTGACTGACCATACATCCATCTCCAGGCTTAAAGAAAAAAGCCAGTTCTGAATTGGAGAGACACATCAGTGTTTAAGCTGCTCTCTTTTCCAGAGGACCAGGTTCAGTTCCCAGTACCTACAGGGAGGCTCACAACTAGTTGTAACTCCAGTTCCAGACGATCTGACGCCCTCTTCTGGCCACTCTGTATAGACATATCTGCAAGGAAAATACCTACACCCATAAGAATAAAATAACAATAATAAATTTAAAAATTAGTTCATAGCTCATCCTGTTTGATATGTCCTATTTCTGTCTACCCTTCTTGGATTGTTTTGAAGCAAGTCCCTAACACCACATGAATTCATCTTTGAGAGTTTCAGGGTGAGTTTCTTCAGGGGTCCTTGTGGCTGTCTTCCTTGTCTTTCTATCATATGTCTGTGCTGACTTCCTGATGTCTTTCTTTGCTTTCTTCAATGTTTGGAAAACTATTCTGCCTTGCTCACAGGACTTAAACTGCCCTCCCAGGGCTGGCCATGCTCCAAGGATGAATAGAGGAAACGCCTCTGCTCCCTGACCCTTCATGGGGTTATGTTTTAATATAGCAATCATAAGTAGAAAGCATCTCAAGTTAAACATGCACATCTGTAGCCACTAGTTGGGTACTGTGGCACATGCCTATCATCTCACAAGAGTATAAAACTATGGCCCAATATGACCAGTTAGAAGAAACAAAGAACATGGTGTGGTGCCACACACCTTTAATTCCAGCACTTGGGAGGCAGAGACAGGTGGATCTCTGTGAGTTCGAGACCAGCCTGGTCTACAGAGTGAGTTCCTGGACAGTTGCAGTTACAAAAAGTAAGGAAGAAGTGAATGAAAGAAAAGAGGAAGAGAGAAAGAGAGGGACGGAGGGAGGGAGGCAGCGAGGCAGGAAGGCTGGCAAGCATTAGCAGTCCACAACTTCTCAGGAAGGGGTAGGGCATCATTGAAGGGCCCAATCTGAGAAGACTAATTGGGGAGAAAAAGAAGTTTAGAAAGAAAGGAAGGAAAGAAGACAACGGAGGGTGGTAGGGGCAATTATATTCACAATACGTTGTATATATGTATTCATGTCAATTTTTTTCATTTTATTCTATGCCAATAAATAAATAAATAAATTTGTTTCCACTATAAAGCAGAGAAAGACAAAGGGGGAGGGAAGCAGCTGGGTATGATGGTATATTCCTGTGATTCCAGCACTTAGGGGGTAGAGGCAGAGAATTGTGAGTTCAAGGACTGGGGATATATAGTGATACCTTGTCTCAATAAAGAAGAAAGAGGCATTTGATGTATGTGGCCTACAAGCAGCCAAGCTTAGCAGCTTAGCACACTACAGAGCTTCTTCCATTTGTTAGTTGACGTCGGACTGCCCAGGACCACCAAAGAGCACCAACCACACCACACATCTCCAGCCATAGATAGATCAACATCGACAATAGTCTGTGCTGAGTGTGTGCAGCTTCTGTAGAAAAACTCTGAGTCTATCCTAAGCCAGGAACCATCTACACACACAATCCAGCTTCCTGGTGAGGTGACTCAGGGATACTGCTCACACACGTCTCCAAAGTCTCTCTGAGATTACATGCCATTTGTCACCATGATAGCTGACTGGATAATTGACTTGTTTTTATTGTTCACATTCAATTCCCTATCACTGTCTGCATCAATTTGTTAAGATAGACAAAACAAAGCAGCAGAAGGCTGGGCGGCTCAGACAACAGCAATGAGATCCCCGTAGGTGTGGAGGCTGAAAGTCCAAGGTGAAGTTGCTGACACTGTAGGATTCTTCTGACTGCCTCTGTCTTGGGCTGACCCTGTCTTGGGCTTGTTGCTGTTCCTTAGGGCTACAGTGTCCTCCCCAGGCTATGAATGTATCCTGAGTTCCTTCTGTGATAGGGATGCTAGTTAGGCTGGATAAGAGACCTCTTATCCTGAAGACCTCATTTTACTTTAATTATCTCTTTCTCTAAATATTCACATTTGATGAGATGGAGATTAGAACTGTAACACGTAAATGAATTTCAGGGCATAGTATCTGCCCCATAAGACTAACCTATTGACATAGGTTTAGATGCTTCTAGAAGCATCCAAATCAAAGAAATCTCTAAAATATAAGGATTTTAAAAACTTATTATATTATAGACTTTTAAAATTAAAAATATTTTAGACCTATTTATTTTATTTATGTGTTTGTGTATTTCGCCTGCATGTATGAATGTGGACCACATGGGTGCCTGGTGCCCAGGAAGGTCAGAAGAGGGCAGCAGATCCCCTGGAACTGGGGCTGAAGAAGGCTGTGAGCTGACATGCAAGTGCTGGAAATAGAACCCTGGTCCTCTGCAAGAGCAGCCAGAGCTCTTACCTCTGAGCCATGTCTCCAGACACTTGGGGATATGACCAGCTTCTCCTGTTCTACCAGCTCTGTCTGTAGTTCTGGGGATTGAACCAGGGCAGGGTACATTGAGCAAATGCTATATTCACTGCCTGCTGATAGCTCTTTGCTGTGTGTTAGGTTTTATTGATTTTACTCAAGTAGAATGCTTTAGATGTAGGAGGTAACAAATACAGCCTGACTCACTTAAAGAATCAATGTCAGTACCACTCTTCCTTGGAAATGAAATTACCCTAGAATAAGAAACATCTAATTAACAAAAGTAATTACTCCATTAAACGTTTAATTATATTTTATTTATGTATGGAGTAAGGATCATGTGAAGGTTAAAGAACATGCCAGAATCTGTTCTCTCCTTTCACCATGAGCGATAGACCTCAGGTGGTCCAGCTTGGCAGCAAGTGCCTTTAACCTCTGGACTGTCTCACTACATTTGCTCTTTAAGAATGTAAAATAACCCCTGTTGAGTATATTACTCGGAATCAGTACCACTGTGTGATACTTAGTAAGCGGTAAGACAAAGGTTTTCTGAATTGAGTACTAATTTAATGATCTCTATTAAAGGCACTTCTTGTAGTGTGGGATATTGCTTAAGTGGGGGTGGGGGTTGCTGGGAGGACCAGGGTGATACTAGAACTCTTTAGAGATACATTTCTCTCTATTTCACTGTAAACTTAAATGTGCTTGAAAAATAATTATTTAACTAAAAGTAAGTAAATTAGAAATAGGGGCAGCACCTCCTACTGAAGTTAGCAACTGTTATCTAATCGGGACTAGAAAGACCTCCAGGGAAGAGTAAGTTTATATAAAACATTAATCAATTTACTAGTGCCACCTACTGGTGAGATCTGACTACTGCTCTACAAACGATTTTTTTTCCTTCAGAGCTCATTCTGGATAGTTATTTCACAAACGGTCTGTTGTTTGGTTTTGCTTTCAGATATGGTTTCATGTAGCTTACGCTCGCCTCAAGCTTGCTATGTAGCTTAGGCTGTCTTGCTGGAATCTTCATTTCTGGCAACTCCTATTTGAAGAGCCCCATTATTCTCCAGACCAGGTCTTTCCAAAAGGCCTGCCTCTTGTTCCTCCTCTCCCTCTCCCCTCCCCTTTCCCCGTCTCCCCCTCCCGACACCCAAGCTTCCCATCCAAACTGTTTATAGTCCCGCCCACCCGGCCCTTTAATCAGGTTGCAGTCCTGCCTTTCCCCAACTCCCCCGGAAGGCCCCGCCTCCTTGCCACGCCCCGCGTCCATAATTAATTAAGCTCCTGGCCCCGCCTCACTCCTTGCCTCACCCTCAGCCCCGCCTCCTCCCCGGCCCCGCCCCTTCCTGGGCCAGCGTGTCCTTCTCCCGGGTCAGCGGGTCATCACTGCCCTCCACGCTACCTCGGTTTCTCCCAGGCCTGTCCCTGAAACCACCTCCAGGTTCCGCCCTGCTTCCCGGACGAACCGCGCCCCCTTGCCTCAGCCAAGGCTCCCTCGGCACTCGGGCTCAAGCTTGATTTCCCCGCCCGCCGTGGGCCCGCCCTCCCAGGGGCGGAGCTGAGCCAGGTGCGGCCCCGGGGCGTGGCCGGTCCCGGGAACGCAGGTGCGGCTTCCGCGTCAAGATGGCTGCCGCCTGTCGCTCTTCGGCTTTGCTCCCTCCCGGCCCCCTGTGCCGCCTGCCTGCCCCGGCCCAGCTGCTGAGCATTGCCCTGTGTCTGCTCTGCTGGGCTCCGGCGGCTGTGGACGCCGTCCCTGAGCTCGGGCTTTGGACGAGGACCGTCAATGACGTAAGTACTCTGGGGACTGAGGCGTGGCGCTTCTCTGGCTCTCAGTGCCCTTGCAGGGTAGCTCCGCCCGCGCACCGGTCTGGCCTTGGGCTTGTTCACTTGAGCTCTGTCGGACCAGCAGTGGGCCCTCCGACAGGCTTACTGAACCTTTTGTCTGGACTGGGCTCTAGGAAGGGAGCGTCCCCCTCCTCTGCCTCTTCAGGGAAGAGCGATCCCAGTTTTCTTAGGCCGGCTTCTCCTTGCAAACGCTCTTGCTATTCGCGAGGCTCTCCACGCGCTGCGTCCTCGACTCTCACTGTGCCCTGTCACAGTGTGTCTCGATCCTGCCTGTATTTGTTCAGATCAGAGCCCCCAGTCTCTGCATTCCCAGCAGCATAGTATGGCTAGATTACTGCTCACGGCCCCAGGGAGGTTTGTCTAGCCCTTCTGTTAGAGCGTACATTTAATATGCTCTATAGTCATACATACACTCACCTCGCCTCTATTTACTTGGGCTTCTGAATATTCTTTAGCGCTCCTATCACAGTTCAGGGACTTCTATATATGTAGGCGGAGCAAGGTGTGTAGGAGTGTTTAAAAGGCGAGTCTGGATGGATGGGTGAATGAAAATGAAAATTTCCTTAACTGGGCAGGCCATTAGAGAACTTGATGTTCTGTGTGGCTACAAGATGCGGGGGAAATGTAGGGGCAGAATTATGGAAAGTCTTGCAAAAGAGGTAGGCATCTCAGGAAGTGACATTATTTCTAGAATGTCTCTAGTGTCAGAGGACTCACCCATATCTTCTTGGGGTACATTGAAACGACGTCCAACTTAAAAGATGAAATTTATGTTTATATTTCTGCAACCAAAAGTAATATCAGAAGCTGCACACGCTTCCAAACACAAAACTACAGAGAATTAAATATAGGCTTGTTTCTGTATCTTGGCTCAGTAGCATTTCTTTTAAGATTGTTCTGAGTCGATGCCCTGTGTTATAGACATATCAGTGACGGGCTGCGAGTCTCAATTGTTGAACTTCTCATCAATAGAAAGCAACATTTGTTGCTTTGTCCGCCGCCTCTGTAATGAATGTGATTAAGCTAGTGTTTGTAAACTCAAAGTAAGACCCCTGCAAGTGAATCAACTACATGGAAACCCTTACTCTGCTTGAGCATGTCTGTAAAGATCTTTGCCAAGCAAGAATGGCAGGGTCTTTTGAAAGGCAGAGAAGTTGTTTCTTGACTGTCATGTGCTGTGGTCAGGCTGAGTTTATTTCCTATGTAGCTCAGGCCAGAAGTGTCAGCAAGCTTTTATTTGCAAAATCAGGTTGATTGCTTTTTTTCTTAAACTACCTTATCAGAATTTGTCTTTTAGAACAGAGAGAATGAGGCTTTCATTTGTTTTGTAAATTCATCAAAAGAAAAAAAAAGTTTCTTTAGATATGAAAATCATTAAATAACTTGAACGTCACCACATATCATTGTACTAGTCATTACTCTTGCAAAGATGACTTTTAGATATGATGTTTTCTGATCTCAAGGAGCTAACACTATATTGGTGACTGCGCATTTATGAGTAGATACTTAGTATACCATAGCATTCTTGGGATATTAGTTTTCAAGTACTGAAATCAGCCTAACCCTGATTTGTGGAGATGTGTAGCTAGTCTAAAGAGATGAAAGGTATTTCCTTTGTAAGGAAAGGAGTGGAACAATAGCAGTGTGGGAAATTATTGGTGTTTATGTTGAATGAAGTTCTGAAAGGTGGGAGACTAAGGTCGCCATAGGCCTCCCTCTCTAGACTTCAGCCATAAAACTCCAGGACCTCCAGGGCTGAGGCAGATCATGTCTGAAGTAAGCTGAGTTTGGACAGCATGTCTCTTGAAATTGGTTACTGTTATGTGACTTTCCCTCTGAGACTATTTCTAATAGGACAATGACAGATGAAAGTAACACCTCTATGGAAGTCCAGCTTAGTGAACATTATAATGAGTACCTTGGGGTTACTCATAAGAACAAGGGTGTCCCTAGCATGGCCGAAAACTCAGAGCTATGTCACTGAGGTTCCACCATACAACTTGCAGGCAGCTACTCCACCCCAGCAACTGTTCCCTGCTTCTGTTACTTCAGGGTGGACCCCCATCAGCCTTCTAAGCTTCTTGAATTTTAGACTGCCCTCTTCCCTCAGGAAGGACAGTTTGGAGCAAGCCATAACTGCCATGAGGAAATGCTATGGGTCATAGGCACAGAATTACCAGAACTCCTTTAAGTGAAGCTTGAAACAGTGTTTATTGTGTCACCTAATTGGAACTTCTGTTGTTGTTTTTTTTTTTTTTTGTTGTTGTTGTTGTTTTAATTGCTCATCATGGGCCAGGCATGCACCCTCACCCCATTTGGGGGTTTGATTAAGTCCTGGGATCATCAGTAGCTAGTTTTGGATATGAACAGAGAGCCATTACAGGGATTTTGGCAGAACTGCTAGTTATTCTGACTGCCATCTAATGATAAATTGTAGGCTCAGGTCTGGAGATGAAGAACTAGCTGACCTGTTGAGGTCAGAGCAGAAATGTTGAGGGGCAGCATGACAACCAGGTTGGTAGATGTGAAGAGGAAGAACTAAACATGGGAAGCATGATCCTTACATAGGCATGTGCAGGGGGATGGCGGGTTGGAAGTGAGGAAGTGATGGCTTGGGTGACTGGAGGGCTTGATCTTCACAGCAGACAGTATAAGACTTGGAGAGGAATGCACCTGATGAACATATCCATGAGTTTATGGATCTAGAGATCAGAGGAGGGATCTGGGCTGCTGATTTTATTATTGTGGGAACTGTTGGGGAGGGGAAACGGTTACCAAAAAGAGTGACCTGCCCGATCAGTTCTGTCATTCCGTACTGCTCTTTCGGTTAGCATGGTTCCTTCTTGCAGGATTTTTATTCTTGGGAAGAACTGTTTGACTTTAACTAGTTATTGTTGTGAAGCACAGTGTCTACTAGAGACTGTATAAAGGAGGTATGGGGCCACTGGGGAGCATACCCAGGCTAGGAAGCATGCTAAACAGGCTCGCTAGCTACATACTCCAGCCAGGAAGGAGATTTTGAGCTGGTTCTTGAGGTAAGAAGGAAAAGCATGAGAGGGGTTTGCAGTTTTCAGGTTGACTGCTGAGGTCCCAGCAGCAGAGTTTTCCAGAAATGAAACATTGCTGGAGAGGCGAGCAGACTTTGATTGTGTGGGGTCTGTAGGATTTTGGCCTGCTGTGAGTACAGTGGTAAACAAAATCAATTTGGAGAGGGATATTATTTATCAAAAGTGCTTTTAACTTTAATACCAAGAAAACAGCATGCAGCGTGCAGTTTGTATTATGTCCAAGCAGCATTGATCATAATGGCCCGAGCCCTTCTGTCTTGTGTATCACCAAGTTCCAGTTTTGACTTTTTGAGATCTTTTGTTTTTTTCCAAAGTTCACTATGTGACCCAGGATGGCCTTGAACTCATGGTCTTCGAAGGCAGGGCCACTACTTCTGATCCTTACTCACAACAACTAGGGAATAGACATAGCAATGAGATTTTAATTTAAGCCAGCAAGAGATATGGTCAATTTTACATTTTTACATTTTACAATTTTACATTTTAAAGATTTATTTTTAATTTTTAATTATGTATATGGAATTGGGGAGAATGTGTGCATGAATGCAGGTACCTGCAGAGTCAGAAGAGGGCACAGATTCTCTGGAGCTGGAGTTATAGGCAGCTGTGAGCATTGTGATGTGGGTGCTGGGAGCTTAACTCCAGTCCTCTTCAGGAACAGTAGGTATTCTTAACCACCCAGCCATCTCTCTAGCTTCAGGTTTACATTTCTAAAATGTCTTGACTTGAAGGCTAAGTGTGGAAGCTTTAAAATATAATCACTCTGATTAGACGGTGTAACGAGGAATAGTATACTGTATTTAGACGATAAAATTACTTTTAAACAATAAAGAAAGCTTTAACTAAGATTTTTCTGTATTTGTTTTTCACTTTAGAAATCAGGACCTTTGATATTTAGGAAAACTATGTTTAACTCTACTGAGATCAAGTTTTCTGGTAAGTATATTAATGTACAGTTCTGATATATTATAAATGAATGCATTAATATAAACTAGTGTAAGATACATTAAGCTGAAGTGTACTAGGCTCTGCTTCCAAATCATGACACAGAGACTTATTAGCTTTGAATGCTTGAACTAGCTTTGACACATTTCTGGCTAGCTCTTTTAGCTTAAATTCGGCTGTTTCTCTTTATCTACCTTTTGCCTTGGTGTTTACTACCTTCCTTACTTCTGTATATCTTACTTTCACGGCTTCTCTATGTCTTGTCTGGCTTCTTCTTCCAGCATGACCCTTAGTCTCCCTTCCTTCCTTGTTCTTTTTTCTCTCTCAAGCCTAGAGTTCTCCTATTTATTCTCTCTGCCTGCCAGCCCTGCCTATTCTTTCTCCTGCCTAGCTGTTCATGGTTCAGCTCTCTATTAGACCAATCAGGTGCCTTAGGCAGGCAAGGTGAAACAAATACAGTTCATCTTTAGAAGTGCAGCACAAACAAAAGTAACACATCTTTACCCAGTTAAAGTAACATTCTGCAGCATAGACAAATGTAACAATCTTTGCCTAGTTAAAATAATAGTCTACAACAATGAATGTTTTGTTTTTTTAACTGAATCTAACATTTTAGAATTTTGTTTATTCTAGGCTTACTTATTTGCAAGAAATGATTTTTTTTTTTCCTGAACTTCTATCAGCCTTATCTGTGGGTTGCCATCCTTTAAGGTGATCCCCACCTTCTGATACTTATCATCCATCACATTCTACAAAGTTTCTCTTAAAAGTCTAAGGCTATGTTATGAAAAGATATTCTGGCTTCTCTGCCCTCTCCTGATCCCTTGCTCTGGGGAAGCCAGCTGTAGTGGCTGTAAACAAAGTAAACACAGAGCTTTCTCTGGCTTTAGACCTAACCCTTTTGTCTTAATCATACCACCTAGGACTTTAAGGATTGGAGGTCCATTATGGTTTGAACCATATCATCCTTGGTCTGGGTCACACTTAGACTAGGCTTGAGTGCATCTCTGTACCCTCCTCTTCACTTGACTAGCTTCTGCTTTTCTTCCTCCAGGTAACATGCCTTAACCCTACACCAAAGGTGGCCAGTGCCCTTGACACCCTGTTCTCAGCCTGTTGGGCATCTCAAAGCACCCACTTGTTAACTCTCACAGCATTTTAGCTCATAAATTTAGTTCTTGTTAGCTGCTGGCCTTTCCTGGTACACAGCAAGGAATTCAATGTGATTTGTATGGATGAGTGATTGAATATGTTAGACCTGGAGAAGCCATAGCTGAACAAGCCAGGATGCTTAGTTGATTACAACATTGGACTTACATTTGAATAGTTGCAGCAAGTTCTGGCCAGTTAAAATTTAATGAATTTATCCTTCTCGGTTTGCAGTGATTTAGAGAAATTAGGTAATGTTTTACTCATATTACCATTAAAACAGCCAGTTTCAGACAGCATTCTTGAAGTCTCAAGTTCATACTAGACTGTTATTAATGTACAATAAAACTGTTTGTCTGAACAGTGAAGTCATTCAGTTGTTCTGGACCTGTGAAGTTTACCATAGAGTGGCATTTGAAGTATCACACCTGCCACAATGAATACGCTGAGCTGGAGGAGGTGAGTGAAAACAAGTCTTTAATTCGTACAGAACTGTGGAGGAAAAATGATGAAAAGAGTTAAAATAACACCAGGTAAGTAGACTAGACGTTTGGGGACTTAAGACAATAAAAAGTATGTGCTTTTTTGACAAAACTAAGTTTTGTAATCTCCTTGTGAGGTATCTTATTAAAAAATGTTTAAATCAGGCTTGTAGCAGCCATTGATAAAGGACTATGATAAGTCAACTTAACTTGAGAAGGAAATTGAATTTTCACATCATTCAAACAATGAGTTGCTGGGAACCCAGAGGGCAAGTAGATGTGTGAATTCAAATCAGTCTCTGAGGAGAGTGGAGATCTGAGGAAGGACAGAGAGGAAGAAAGAGGCTGTGCAAAGTGGGGGCCTCTCCTCTCCTGGATGGGAGGGGCTCTTTGTCACTTACAAGTTGCTCTTTGCTGAGTCTCATGACCATTGTCTAGAAAGCCTCTCCCTTATGTGTTTGGCTTTTGTCCTGAGTATTGTTGAATTTCCATTTTATTAGTGCTGTTGTTCAATTAGAGCAAAATATCCTCAGTTTGACTAGCTCTGCTTCTTCACTATTCGATTCCAGGTGGGTACCTGTAGCAGGCATCACACTCGATTCTATTGAGTTGTTCTTTGTTTAGTGATGTTAACTCAGTTGATAGAGGAAGTGTTTGTTGACTCCTCCACTGTAGAGTTATTACTTTTTGTTGCTGAATGGGGCAGAATTTTTATAGCTATATGAATGTCCTGATTTTTTTTTTCATCAAATATCTATCCATTCATTTAGCAGTCTTTTATGAGTCTTTCCTTATAAATCAGAAATTATAATAATTGCCTAACAATGATTTTATTATTTCCATTTTTCTTTTGTGTGTCTTAGCATGTTCTTTGTGAATAAGCTACCTTGTTTCTTCTATTTTTTCTGTTGATCTCAGGCAACAGTATGGACATATTCGTGTTTACTTTGTTTACAAGACATGATCAGTTAATTTTTTTTGTTGTTTTTTTTTAATGTTTTTGTTTTTTCAAGATAAGGTCTTTCTTTGTAGCCCTGGGCTGCCCTGGAACTGTCTTTGTAGACTAGACTCGCCTCAAACAGAGAACCACTTACTCTGCCTCCCAAGTGCTGGGATTAAAGGTATGTTCCATTATTCCCAGCTTTTTTTTTTTTTGGAGGCAGAGTCTCCCTGTGTGTCCCAAAGACAATTAATCTTTTTATTTGCTCTGCTCCATTTGTCTTTTATTTGGTCTGGAGAGGCGATTTTTGGGAGACTGGGTGCTTCTATTAGTGGCTTAACTTATTCTTCTGTTATTTATCCAAAAGTGTTGGGTTAGATTAGCTGCTTTTGCTTTATTTGCCATTTACTTTCTACTTCTTTGTAATTAAATGCTCTTCTCTTTCTCTGTAACATTTCTTATATATAGGATAAAATATAAGTAGTCCTATGGCATGCTTTATTTTATTTTTTTATTTTTTGGAAGCTGTTTGTTTGTGGTAGCATATTGATTTTTGTTTTGTTTTGAAGCAGGGTTTCATTATGTACACTTGATTGCCCTGGAATTTAACTAAGCTGGCCTTGAACTCAGAGATCTACCAGCATCTATTACCACAGTACTGATACTAAAAATACGTACCACAAAAACAGTTTCTCTGTGTATCCCAGCTAGTCTTGAATAGCCTTTTATCCTGCTTCAATCTTCTTGGTCTGGGGTTAACAGTCATGGATCCATGGCCCCCCACGATAGTGTCTTAATCTCTAAGTCCATGATTGTACTTGATAATGGGTACAAACACATTGGAATGGCTAAACTGTTATGATTGTTGTGCCCAGAATCTGAACCCCCATAAGACCCATTCCGATGCAAAAGCAAAGAGTCTTTTATTGTTGTTTAACGAGCTAATTGTATTAACTGGGGCCCTTAGTCTGTTCAACATTCGGATGGTGGGAGAAAAGATGCCAAGCAACCTCGAGGTAGGGAACTTATTGGGTAGCATAAGGGGAGTGTCTAGGGGTATACAACAGTCTCAGAATTGGTGCAATTTCGGGCTTAGATGACCTGTCCAGTGTTGATTGGTCAACTGGTTGTTATGGCCTGTAGGCCCTCCCAGGGCAGTTGCTATGCTCTGCATGGCACTGTTGTGCCACTTGTACCGTAAAGTACAGCCCTGCCAGCTAACTTCTGATTGGTTCCTTGCCAGGAGGAGGGTATCTGACCTTCTAGTGACTGGGGAAAGGGACGAGGTCAGGCAAGCACATGTTGAGTCTTTTCTGCAGCCTGTCATGGCTACTAAAGGCGGGGTGGGGCAGTGGGAGTGTCCCTTCCTGATCATCTCAGTTATACTTAGAATCATAGTTAATATTTTTTTCTCTTTGGTATTTTGCTTTATTTCATGTTTTCAAATATTCCAAACTGAATTAATTCTTACTATTCTTTAATATGAAGTTTTATTTCTTCTAGAAAAAAATATAGAAAAAAATTATAACCTGGAATTTTTAACTTGAATAGGAACTGTCCCAAAAACATACACTTAATGCTGATATGGACTTCTGTGCCTATTTCAAGAACGTTGACTGTTGGACAACAAAAAGTGAAAACTTAGATTGCAACAGTGATTTACAGGCATTTCCCTCATTAAATGTGAGTATCTGCTTTGCCGTGTTAAAATCAACTTATTTCATTTGAAGTGAATACAAAACATCAGGCTTGAATAATGTTTTGTCAGTTTCTCAGAAAGGAAGGTGTTTGTCTTCAAGTCTTGGCTTTAGTTTTTGCATGTATGCATTAGGGTGTAAGAAAGAAATTGGTGTACTCTTCCTTTTTACTCTTTTTTTCTTTCTTTTTTGGAGACAGTCTCAGTATGTAGTCCTGACTGACCTGAAACTCTTTATGTAGATGAGGCTGTCCTTGAACTCAAAGAGATATACCTGCCTCTGCTTCCAAATTGCTGGGATTAAAGATGTGCGCCACCATGCCTGCAGTCTGTTCTCTTTTCGGCCTTACCAGAGGCTTCCATGACCTGCTCTGTCCTGTTCTGTCTCACTCTTCTCTTAGTGGTTCTCCTGGCATCCTATCAAATGAGCCCTAGTCAAGTTACCAGTGCCTCATCTGTTACCCTCACCAAAGGTCTTGCCTTGCACCGCATTTAACCACCTGAACATTCTTACCTGCTTGTTCTCCTTCCCAGAAAGTAGTACTCTAAATGTTAATAAAACAGTCATACCTGGTGTCCTGGGTTTGTTGGGGGGTGGGGAGGTCAACTCCACACAAGTTAGAGGTATCTGGGAAGAGGAACTTTGAGAAATTGCCCATCATATTGCCTATAGGCAAGTCTGTGGGGGCATTTTCCTGATTAATTATTAATGTGGAAGGGTCCAGTCATCGTGGGTGGTGGCACAGGACTGCTGGGCAGGTAGCCCTGGGTTGTATAAGAAAGCAGGCTGAGCAAACCGGTGAGACGTGTTCCTCCATGCCTTCAGCTTCAGTCCCACCTCCAGGTTCCTGCCATGACTTTCCTCAGTGGGGAAGTATGACCTGTGAGTTGTAAGAATTAAACCCTTCCTCCTGGGGCTGCTTTTGGTCATGGAGTTTATTGAAGCAATAGAAATCCTAACTAAGACATGTGGATTGGGAGGTTATGGATCATTGTAATTTACTTTTCCCTGAAAATTCTAAAATGAAAATGCCTGTAGTAAAAAAATTTAACGTTCTTTTTAAATGTGTTTGGAAGCAAAATAAACATATAAAAATGTATACAATTGTGCCTCAGTGGTTTTCAGAAACTGCAGACTTGGACCAAGTACAGAACCTTAGCATCTGGAGCCCCTGTTTATTTCCTGTACTTTCTCTAACAGTACCTACTCTCCAACTTCAATCACACTATTAAGGAAGCATTTTTTTTTTTTTAAACAGAAGACCTTTTTTTTTTTTTTTTTTTTTTTTTAAGGTAGCATGTTTTAAAACATTATTTTTATTTTATGTGCATTGGTGTGTTGCCTGCATGTATGTGAGATCCCCTGAAACTGGAGTTACAGACAGTTGTGAGCTGCCATGTAGGTGCTGGGAATTGAACCCCGGTCCTCTGGAAGACCAGTCAGTGCTCTTAACTGCTGACCCATCTCTCAGCCCTGTAAAAGAACTTTGTTAATTCATGTTCAAAGTACAATGAGACTTATTCTCTGGTATTCAACTTTCAAATCTGTTTTCTTCTATTACTTTTGTCTTAATTATTGGAAACTACTTTTCTCCATAGAAATATAGTAATTTAGAATCGATTGTTATATAATTTTTGTAATTAGATAATTTAAACATTAAATCCATTGTGTAGAATGAATTAATATCTGCAGTTATATAGAACTGTAAGGAGGAGGTTTTTCCTCCCGTTGTAATTTTTTGGGAATGATTAGCAACAATTATCCCAAAAGTGAAAAAATCAAATTCATAAAGAAAACGATTTGGATCCTCCCACGCATTGTAAGAAAAACACCTATTTCTGGAGTTCATACATTCTACACTGACGCAAACAAATCAGGTAAGGCAGGATATAAATCAGGAAAAATTAGTAAAGTGGTTCAAAGCCTTTACACTTCTGTACAAAAGGCAGAATTGTATGCCATTCTCATGGTACTTATGGATTTTACAGAACTCCTCAATATAGTTACTGACTCTCAATACGCAGGGAGAGTCGTCTTACTCATTGAGACTGCAGAATTTATTCCTGACAATACAGAATTAACTTCATTGTTTATACAGTTACAAGATACTATCAGAAAGAGGATTCATCCTATATATATAACACACATCAGATCTCATACGGGTCTGCCAGGTCCTCTAGCATAAGGCAATGATGAAATTGATCGGTTATTGATAGGAAGTGTACTAGAAGCCTTAGAGTTTCATAAGAAACACCATGTGAACAGCAAAGGTTTAAAAAAGGATTTTTCTATCACTTGGGAACAAGCCAAGGAAATAGTAAGGAAATGTCCTACTTGCTCATTCTATAACCAAACTCCTTTACCACCAGGCAATAAACAGTCAAAGGCCTAGATTGATAGTTAAGATGAATAACAGACTGTTTGATGGGATACTTGACACAGGGGCTGATAACTAATAAATCTTGGCCTCGAAGATGGCCCCTGCACAAGGTAAATGTTCAATTCTTAGAGATTGGAACCCTGTCTCATGTAAAACAGAGCACGAGATGGATTGAATGTATAGGACCGGAAGGACAGAGAGGAAGGTTGAGACCATATGTGGCTGATGTAGTGATAAATTTATGGGGTCGTGATCTATTACAGCAATGGAATACACAGATTAACATTCCTCCAGTATTAGATAGGAACCATAAACAACCTCATGATTATGGAAAAAATATTATAAAGTGCTATACAAGACAGATACCAAATATCCAGGCTGTACAAAAACAAAATACATGTGCTGAACAAACAGAGGAACCAAAAGCCCTACCTTTAAAATGGCTAACAGAGGAACCTGTCTGGGTAGGACAATGGCATATGACCTCTGAGAAGTTAGAAGCTTTAGAAAGCCTGGCTAGCTCAGTCTGTAGAGCATGAGACTCTTAACCTCAGGGTCGTGGGTTTGTTCCCCACGTTGCCCGCCGGTGGTCTTGTCCCGCTGCCGCGCCAGCCCCACTGAGACTCTGTATTAGATATAATGCTGTTGGCCAGGTACTAGTTTCTTATCAGCTAGCTCTGTCTTAATTACTAACCCATTTCTATTAATCTACGTGGTTTTATCTTACTGGAGAGCAGGCTGGCAGTTCTGCTCTCTCCAGTCTCCCCATGCTGACTCCTCCTTACTACTTCCTCCAATCCTCCTTGTCTCCTAGTCCCGCCTATCTTGCTTTCCTATTGGCCAGCAGTGCTTTATTCATCAACCAGTATGAGAAACATATTTACAGAATGACATCTCCCATCATAGAATGACATTTTACTCTTTTCCAGAATAAAGAGCTAACAGGCAGCAGAAATGTTTCAAGCCAAGAAGGATCAATGGTAAACTCTTTTGTCTTTAAATCCAGTATGTACAAATTATAGTGAGATTGAAAAATCAATCTGATGACTGCTTGAAGAATAATAATTATTAAAGTTGGAAAAGAAAAAACTTTAAAATAATATATTTTCTTTTGTTTCGATATCTATTTTGCATATACTATTTCTGCTTTAATTTAAAAAAAAAATCTCTTTGAAGACTAGCTTAGCTCTGCAGCCAGTTTTTTTTTTTTTTTTTTTTCTTTAAAAAAAATTTCAGCTTTCAGTGAGCAAGACTGTGGGCTGCTGTATCATAGCACAATGAGCAACAAGAGTATGGCACAGCAATGGGGAAATTATGGCATCTGGGGGAATCACTAAGAGGCAGAGGCTGAATAAGAAGTACAGAGGATCAGGAGGAGTTATGTGTAGGTACTGAATTAGGCATAGGAGAACTTAAATTTAGCTTTTACATACTGAACTTCACGTTTCCTCAGCTATTCCAAATAGAAATCTAATAGGAAGGCATTTACTGCACTAATTGGGACAGACTCTTGGCATAAACTATCTTATATGGAGGAGTAGGAAATAAAAGGAAGAAAGTACAAGAGTGGACTGTGCTGTGTTGATTTTACAGACATTTTCATGTCATTCTCTAGACAATCCATAATAACAACTGTTTGCATAGCACTTATATTCTATTAGGTATTAGAAATAATCTAGAGATGATTCTAAGTATGCAGGGGGATGTGTGTAGACTATACAAATCCCATGGCATTTTATATGAACGACAGGAGTGTTCAAGGATTTTGGTACCTATTAGGGGTGGTGCTGGGACACATCCTTTGTGGAGATAGGAACAATTAATTTTATGGTTTCATTTTGTTTTGTGGTATGGTCTTACTGCTGCCCAGACTGGCCTCAGACTCAAGCTGTCTGGTTAGTCTGACTTATTTTTTGACATTATCTCCCTTCTCTCTCAATTCAGGTTTTAAAAACATTTCATTAAAATCAAATACTTAGTAATATTAGGATAGAATGTGACAATTCCAATATTAGATTTTTTTTTTTTTTCCTTTTAAGACAGTGTTTCGCTCTGTAGTCCTGGATAGCCTGAAACTTTATATAGACCAACCTGGCCTTGAACCCACAGAGATCCACTTGCCTCTGCCTCCTAGGTATTAGGATAAAGGCATGTGCCACTAAGACCAACAGGAAGAATATTTGGATGATAATATTAAAGAAAGTATGGAGTGAGGACTTAGAGGGACCTGTGGCAGTATAAGTAGTGGAAGACAGTGAAGATGAGAGCCTTTTGTCCCCCTCTTGGGTATGGGGTATAGGGTAAGAAAAGGATTTTACAGCAGTGTTTTCTCTTCCACTGCCTGCCATTCCTTCCCTCTGGGTTACCTGTTCAGTTATTAAAATTGTTTAAAAGTGTTAACTGTTTACTGTATCTCATATAATAATCTGTTTTAAAGAACAAAGACTTATTCTCTCCATTGCAGGATGTTGTAGCCAGGACCCAGAAAGATGGCTTTCACATCTTCATCGTTTCTATTAAGACAGAAAAAACAGATGCAATCTGGGATTTGAATGGTATAGTTAACCCCTATCCATGCATTCTGTGTATCCTATAATTTTTGTCATTAATGTGAATCTGTATTGTCTGTTTAAAACATGTCTTTCAAACACGGATTTTGATTAAGTCTTCTATTTTGAAGACTTAAAACTTGATGCTTAATACTAATATACTTTTTTTAGTAGATAGAGAGAAATGAGCTTATGTTTAAAATGTTTTTTTTTAAGACGATTCTTTCCAGGCATGGTAGTGCATGCCTTTAATCCCTGTACTTGGGAGGCAGAGGCCGAGGCAGGTGTATCTCCGTGATTTAAGGTCAGCCTGGTCTGCAGAGTGAGTTCCAGGATGGTCAGGCTACATAGAAAAATCCTGTCAAAAGAAACCTAAAGAACAAAACAATAAAACCAAAACCCTGATTATTAATAATCTCTTACATTTCTTCTTCTCCCTCTCTCCTTCTGTCACTAGTTTCTCTTTCTATGGTGGGGCCTCATGGATACATCTCTGCATCAGACTGGCCTCTAATGATTGTGAGTATATCTCATCCTTTTTTTCCAAATGAATTTGAGTTCAGTAGTATAACTTCTCTGAAGATATGCTCCGACAAGCCCTCTATTTCTGCTTCCAGAGTGATGAGGAAATGAAGGGGGTGGGGGTGGGAGAGCCTCCTGAGATGTCAGCTTTCAAGTCAGAGGGTCAGAGGCTAACACTGTTTCTCTCCCTACAGTTTTACATGGTGATGTGTATTGTTTACATATTGTATGGTGTCCTCTGGCTGATGTGGTCTGCCTGTTACTGGAAGGATATATTAAGAATCCAGTTCTGGATTGCAGCTGTTATTTTCCTAGGAATGCTTGAAAAAGCAGTTTTTTATAGTGAATACCAAAACATCAACAGCACTGGACTGTCAAGTAAGTTTCAAGCATTTCCATGAGTTATGTGTAATGTATTTTAGCTAGTGTGAGCAGAGCTGCAGGAAGGCCCCTTTTATACATAGGTGTCAGGATGGAAGCCAACAAGAAAATGTCAGGAGGCTGGGGAGATGGCTCAATTCGTAAAGCTCTTACTAAGAAAGCATGAGGACCTGAGGGAGAATTCCAGTACTCATGAAAGAGCCAGACATGGCTGCACATGCACTTCCAACCCCAGCACTGTTGGAGCCATGAGCTTGCTTGTTAGCAGCTTAGCTCCAGGTACAGTGGGGAATAGAATGTAGAGTGGTAAATCAGGACACTGTGTCCTCTGGTGACTAGGAATGTATAGGCATGTGCACTCTCCATGCTCCCACCCAAAAGTGAAAATGTTAGAGGAGGACCCTGATCATTTGACCTAGTATATGTGTTCTTTCCATTTGCTTTCTTTTGCTAATTTTCTCTTCACTTTTGTTTCTGGAAAAAGAAAATTCCCATTCTCTAATAATATTTAAACAATACAAAGCTGGGCATTGGTGGTGCACACCTTTAATCCCAGCACTCGGGAGGCAGAGGCAGGCTGATCTCTGAATTCAAGGCCAGCCTGGTCTACAGAGTGAGTTCCAGGACAGGCTCCAGAACAATACCTCAAACAATGTCTCAAAAAAAAAAAAAAAAAAAAAAAAAAAATGGATAACGGTACCTTAGGTATGGCCAGTGCTTTTGATAATCTTCCTTCTTTGTTTGTTTGTTTTCTTTTTCTTCCTTGAAAAAGAAGAGAGTAAAATGAGTAGCAACCTGCAAGAGCTTCCTATGTATGACTAAAGGAAGTACTGCCCTGGTTTGTACAGTGGGATGTCTGAAGCTGGGAAAGATGCTGGTACATATTTCAGATGTGTGCTTCAGGCTTGTAGAAGATAGATTCAAACAGGCCAGAAAAGTGAGCTCCTGCTGTGTATGTGCTTGTGTGTATGTGCACACAGATGTTTGCATATGTGCTCTAAGACAGATAGTGAAGTGCTGGGGATGTACCCCAGTGGTAGATAACTTACCTAGCATACATAGGCCCTGGATTCCTTCCCAAGCACTGTCAGGGCTTGGTTGGGGGAAGTATCAGATGGTAAGGGTGGAAACTTGACTGAGTGTCAGAGAAGGTAGTTCATCCCCTTTCTCTTCTGGTAAGGTATCTCTTACCTAGAGAGCAAGGGTGGTAGGAACTGAAGAACAGCAAAAGCCAGAGATCCATGAAGAGATGAAGCGCCATTTGCAACCATCAGGGAATCCAAGGCCTTCATCTAAGGTGTCACCATAGGGGTTGTCAAAGAGACTGTGAGTCACTGTCAGTATGTTTGAAGAGTCTGTAAAGGCCATGTGCTAGATAGTTTTGATTTTGCAAGCCACATGGTTTTTTTTGTAATCACTTAGCTCTGTCATTGTGAAAAGCAGCCACAGACAACAACAAACAGATGAGCATGTCTGTGTTATAATAAAACTTGATTTACATAAATATGCAAGGCCAGATTTAGCCCCTGGGCTATAGTTTACCAAGTCCTCTTCTGTATTTATTGTTATTGATTTCCCACTGCCTTGAGCATTAAGTCTAGACTCTGTAACAGTCCCCAGAGCCACCAGTGGTCCTGGCCTCTATCCCATCCACCTCTTCTGTTTTTACTGTTGACTTCCCACGGCCTTGAGCATTAAGTCTAGACTCCATAATAAAGTCCCCAGAGCCATGGGCTCTCCTCTATCCGGTGTTCCTTTCTCGGCATCTGATGTGGCACTGTGCTGCACACATATATGCTTTCCCCTTCTCCATGCTCCCTTCCCCGATATATGTCCACTTACTCTTCTACTCCTCATTTATTCACCTTTTGTGAGTTTTCTTGACCAATTATGCCAACCCCAAGTGTGTATTATGTATTAAGTTGCTCCTTGTCCTAGTCCCAGAGTTATGGTGTCACATGTAGCACTCCCCATGCTGAGTTGTGTCTGCTTCCACGACCTAACCAGAGTTCAAAGTCTATGCATGTAGGGATCAAGATGCCTCTTTTATTATTGCAGTCATAATAGTAGGAGTACAGTGAATACTTTCATTTCTTTTTGTGATGTTAGGTTTTAGCCCAGGGCCTTGCATATTCTAGGTTAGCACTTTATTGCTATAAATATAGATTTTAAATGAATAAATGATGAAGGCACATGGAGAAAAGAAAACTCTAGAGATAGCTTTCATATGTTTGCTGGACTTGAAGAGGGATGTAGGTGGAGGGGTGCTCTGGTAGGTTTCAGGTTGACATAAGAAAACTGCCTACTCTGGGCAGTGGTAGCACATACCTTTAATTCCAGCACTCAGGGAGACAGAGGCAGGTGGATTTCTGTGGGTTCAAGGCCAGCTTCTTCTATAGAGTGAATTCCAGAACAGCCAAAGCTATACAGAGAAATCCTGTCTCAAACAAACAAACAAACAAAAAAGAAAATAAAAAAAGGCTGGAGAGATGGCTCAGCCATTAAAGGCTAGGCTCACAACCAAAACTATAAGAAAAAAAGATGATGATGATAATGAGAAGTGCCTAATAGAGCTGATGAGACTTGAGGTGAGTCTTCAGGAGGTAGTACTGCCCTCACTGAGGCCTGAAATATCAGTTGGGTTAAATGCCTTGTAAGTCACATATAGCTAATAAATCTGGGGTCAGTGTCATTGCATTGCACATGGTAATTTTTTTTTTTTTTTTTTTTTTTTTTTTTTAAGAATCTTATAAGGCCTCTGAGTGTACATAATGGATTGTTTTCTTTCCTTGCCCCTCAGCCCAAGGTTTACTGATATTTGCGGAGTTGATATCTGCAGTTAAGAGGACATTGGCTCGCCTGCTTGTGATCATTGTGAGCTTGGGTTATGGCATTGTCAAGTAAGTATTGCTGCATTGAACAACTCCTGACTCTCCAGTCTAGTGTTCTAGCCCATGCACACATGACCTCTGTGGAACTCAGGATTTGTCAATGTCACAACCTGAATCCCCAAGGGAAAACCCTGAAAGAGCATGGGCTTAAAAAACTCTGTTGAGTTCAAGGCCAGCTTGGTCTGTATAACTACACAGAGAAACCCTGTCTGAAAACAAACAAACAAACAAACAAAAACTTGCATGGACTAGCCATCTAGCCATTTTATATTAGCTCTTGATCTTGTATTGAATCCCAGTAGCCCAATGTGGCCTGAGCCTCCTAGAGTCTTGGGTTATAAGCATGTGCCCCACACCTTATCTCTTGAGCAGCCTGATATAAGAGTATGGCTTCAGGGATCTGCATTCCTTATGCATTCCTGTCGATTCTCATTGCATTTGGTAGCACAGTTAGTGCCAAAATGTCAGGCTCCCTTCCTGAAGTGTTGATGGGAGTGAAATGAAAACAAATGATGGAATTGGGTTCAGTTGACTATGGATCCAGGCAGAGGTGACATTGCTGTGTCTGATGTTTCAGTAGAGACTCTGTCTAGAAACTGCCATCTAGGGACTAGAGAGGTGGCTTAGTAGTTAAGAGCACTAGGTGCTCTTCCACAGGACCCAGGTTCAGCTCATAATTGCCTGTAACTCCAGTTTCATTGGATGCAACACCTTAATACAGTCTGTCAGTACCTGTAGTCCCAGCACTCAGGGCATGGAGTCCAAATGATCTCCAGCTCAAGGTGAGCCTGGGCTACATTCCAAGCCCTTTCTTGCCTATTACCTGAGGGAGGCCACCACCCTGGTCCCTTTCTCTACACCTGACACTTAGCTCTTTGCCTTAAGTTTTGTTTTATTATGACTGTCTTAGATATGTTTTATATATATATATATATATATATATATATATTTATTATTTTTTCTTATTTCACATATCAATCCCAGTTCCCCCTCTCTCCCTCCCATGCCCCCTGACCCCCCTCCTCCCCCACCCCCTCCCACTCTCCAGGGAGGGTGATGCCTTCCAGGAGGAATATAAAAGCCATTTTTTCCTTCTGATTACTCTAAGAAGAGGATTTTAAAGTATTGCAAAATGTATGTGCAATCAATTCTGATTTGTAGATCCCATGAAGTATAATCATATTATTAATTGGAAAAGAAAATACATTTTGTCCTAATCCTTTTTGTTTTAAGAATCTAATATATTTTAACTTTTAAGTTGGAAGATTAAAAACAAATTATGTTGTCACTCCTGCTCTGGGGTAAGAGGCAGGAAAGAGAGGGAGGGCACTGAGGTTCCTTGTGCTCATGCTCTGCTCTGTGTCCAGTCACATGATCAGTGGGCTTCTCAAGGTAGTGCTCCATGTGCTTTGCAGTTAATGGTAATAGAAGTTATCATCTCTGTCAGCAGCTGCTAGAAGCTGGCATAGCATCCCTGCCTAGGCTCACCAACCTGCTCCTCCATTCTGAGTATTACTTGGTTATGTTCATCCTGTTGCTTGAACTTGAAACTCTCTGTCACCTTTACAGCTTCAGGTCCTGGAGGGAAGGCCTGGTGGTCCCAGGGCTCATGACTGTGTCCTTGAAAGAGAATGCAGAGTTCCAAGCACATCCACATCACTAAATAGTGCCCTCTCTATATTGAGCCTGTGAGTTCTGGGTTCAGATTTACTCTGCTTACCAATGCACTCTCTGTCTCTCCCCCAACCCTCTTGCTTCCTCCAGGCCTCGGCTAGGAACAGTTATGCATCGGGTGATTGGACTGGGACTGCTTTACTTGATCTTTGCAGCCATTGAAGGCGTCATGAGAGTCATCGGGGTAAAGGCCACATTAACCCATCACCACTTTTTGTTGCCATGGAATGCAATCGTATTTAGTCTCTTCATTTTTCTTTGTTTTTAAGATAAAAATGTATGAGACAGTCCCAATATGAGCCTCTTCCAGATGGAATAGTCTGCTTTTTTAATACTTGGTGAAGGAAGAACCCAGCAGAGTCCTTCCTAAAGTGGCAGACGGTGAAAGCACCACTGATGTCATCACCCTTGGAAGTAGCTCTATCCGGAAATGCCTGTGGTCATTATTAGGGGTGTCTGTTTTTGCCCTTACATAGTTTAAACACAGACATATCTTTCTTAATCCTGGGCTTAGAAATGGATCAAATGAGCAGAAAGGAAGTTATCCCCTTCACTTATGTAAGCATCCTTCTCTCATTTGACTCTTAACTTTGCTCTAACTGGACTTACTCTCTGGGGAGTTAGTAAGTCCCACATTTGGAAGAACCAGGAGGAGGTCATCTTCAGAGAAGATTGTGGTCATGTGGACAGCACATTGTCCTCTGAGGAAGTGTTAGATTTTAATCTGTGAAAACCTCTAACAAAAAAGTAAAACCAACCAAACAACCAAGCTCCATGAAAGGAGCTTGTGTTCTTAGGAAGCTAAGTGATCTAAAAGCTTACTGTGGTTCACCTGATTCAAAGACTTGCATTTTACTCAAAACATATTTGAATTCAGTGTGTAGATCAGATCACTGTGCACAGAACAGTTAATCTGTTATGCTGTCACATACATTTACCTCACATATTTTTGTTTGGCTCTTAAAGGAGGATATTTTTCAGTAATATTATAGAGCCTCATTCCATTATGTTAATGCATGTATATTCTGTGTTACAAACCTGTTCATTTATTCTTCGAGTGTATTTGTTACTTTGTATAAACATGAAGAACCCCCCCCACACACACACACACACAGAGATAGAGAGATAGAGAGAGATGGTTTTTGAGACAAGGCTTCTCTGTGTAACAGTCCTGGCTGTCCTGGAACTTTTTCTAGACCAACCTGGCTTTGAACTCACAGAAATCCGACTGCCTCTACTCTCCTGAGTGCTGGAATTAAAGGCCTATGCTACCACACCTAGCTAGCCTCATATATATTGAAATATATATGTATACATATAATTCATAAGAAATTAGTCTTTAGAAAAAATAATAACACACATATAAATACAATATTACACATTTTAAAATTTACATAGTTGGCAGTTTAAATGGTGGCTGTTTTAAATGTGACTGCCGAAACAGGGGTCTAATATATAATCTGTTCCTCCCTTTTCACATAGTATCCTACCTTTACTTTGCCTTTTTTGCATGAGTGTGTCCCTTTATTCAGGAGAGGGCAGGAGTCTGTTCCTTTGATAGAATCAGGTCTGGGTTTGGTGTGATGAGAAAGGAGATTGAAATGGCAGGTCTGGGTGAGATTGGGGCATGACAAGCCTTTTGTTTATTTGCCAGTCTATTTATTTCTAGCATGAAATAAATTGATAAATTATGTTTGTTGTTCACAAAGCCGATGGTTTCTATGTGCTAACACAATTCCATCAAAATATAAAATCTTACATGGCGTTGAAGGTGATAAAAAGTGAAATTGTTTTTCTTCAGATGATACTTATACACTACATTGAAACTTGCATAAATTTAGGCTTTCCCTACTTTTATTTTTCAGGGTTCTAAACATTTAGCTGTTGTTTTGAGTGACATTACTTTAGCAGTTATTGACTCCATTTTTGTGTGGTTCATATCCTTTATCATGTCCTACCAAAATAGTTTGTGGTATTATTAAAATCAGATTACTTTTAATTTGTAATAATGGTGGAATGAAATATAATTGTGCATTATTGTTTTCTCAATGTAGGAATTTAGCTAAAGGCAAGAACGTAATAACTCCCCAGATAGGAATGTCTTTATTTTCCTATTAGCTCACTAAACATGTAAGTACTCAATGTACACTTCACACAGTGAGGAATAAATAGAGAATATTGTCTCTGTGTTTACAGAATTCACACCCGATAAAGAGACACATATAACTTTACTGAAACAGCATAGCAGGAGAGATGCCATTTTAGAGTGCTGGTGTGAGAATAGAGGCAAAAGGAAAACTCTGGCAGAAAAAATAAAGACTTCACAGAAATGGTTGAGTAAGTAGGAAGAGAATTGAGGAGAAAGAATAGTTGCAAGTGTGAAGTTAAAGGGGACAGTGGCAGAATGTCTCAGCTTAGCTTTTCTGCATGTAAATATGGTGGGGAATCATGGCAGATGAGTCCTCGGGTGGGTCCTGTGCAACCTCGCAGTGGCTTCTTAGGGATGCTTGCCTTCCTGTGGAGAATGGAGTGCAAATAGACACCTCTGGCATTGGGATGGCAGAGCTGCAGTAGAGATGGACAGGCAACCACCTTCAGCAGTACAACTCTGCTGATGGCTTGTCTTCGACATTATATTTAGAAAGGAGTCTGAGCTTCCCCTTTGAAATTGCCTCTTTTCTAAAGTAGTTTGTGCTTAGAAGAGCTTTGGACAAGTCAGGGAATATGCCCTTGCTTTAAGCAATTGAGCTTCAGACTTTCCATCCAGAAGAATTTTGTAGTTGGTGTGGTGGTGTACACCTTTAATCCTAGTACTTGGGAGGCAGAGGTGATCTCTGAGTTAGAGGCCAGCCTGACCTTCAGAGAGAGTTCAAAGACAGCCAGGGCTACATATAAAGAGACCATGCCTCAAAACAAACAAAATGTGCTGTTTTCTCTTGGGATTTACAGATATATATTCATTGGGAAGACACTCAAGTAGAAACCTTGGCAGAAAATTCCAAGGAAATAGCTCTGTGTAAATGTGAGCAGCCTGTCTCCTTTGGACAGCACTGACTTTGTTACCTTCCAGTACAGTCAGCCAGATTGGGGTGGGCAGGTAAGGGAAGCAAAATGAGTGGTTTAATTTACTCAGTGGTCATAAAGAAATCCAGAAGTTAAGATTATCCTGGACAGTATTGGGTGGTGACTGGAAGTAAGTTACTGTAATACCCCTTTCCTTTGAACCTGAAATTGCCAAGTTTGCTGTCTCCTGCTATTTGGTCATTTTTACCACTCTGAGATGAGAAGTAGGTTTCTTGGGTGGTTACAGATGACAAGTAGATATAAGCAGGGCTGCATATAAAATTGATGGTTTTGGATGATGACCTTGATCTCTTTGATTTCAATGAATCTAACACAAATTAATTCTGTAAGATCTTAACTGACAGAAATTCAAAGTTGATAGCCTTTCTTATGTCTCCCCATACCCCCTTTGCTGCTTGGTTATTTGTTTTGCTGTTTTGCTGCAGGCGAATGACTCTGATCTTGTTCTTCTGGCCAGCCTGCCTCTCTCTCTTCTTGACTCAGGCTTGTGCTGGTGGATATCCTTTTCCTACTACAGCAGCATGCTCGCCTGGCTCTCTCCACCTTATAGAGTCTGTGTGCTTTAATTATTGCTTTCTCTTCTGCAGGGGGTGGCGGTGGGGTAAGTAAAGGCTTAGGCAGTTTCAAATTTGCTTTTGATATTTTTAACTCCTTGGTTTTTAAAGAACACTGTTGGATGATCAAACAGAAACATATTTGTTTGTTCCATATGTTTGTTTGAGGTGTTTAAGGAGTATAGTATGTTTGCATTTTTGTAGGTTCTCACAGTAGGACCAAATTTGTTGGTGTGCATTACCTCGGAAGCTGATCTTGCCAGACAGGCAAGGTTGTGTACATCTTAATCCCAGGACTTGGAGGCAGGCAGGAGGATCTCTGAGTTCCAGACCAGCCATGGCTATACAGTGAGACCCTTTCTCAAATAACTTCTTCTTTTTTTAATTTACTAAATTTAAAAAAAAAAAAAAAAAAGAAGGAAGAAAGAGAGACTTTCTCTGTAAAATAATATTGGACATTTAGAATGATTGAAAAATCAGTTTTTACAAAGTAGTTTTTTAATGAAGTATTTAGTCTTTTGTTTTTTAGCTTTTGTTGTTCTTGTTTTTTGAGACAGGGTTTCTCTATGTAACATTCCTGAACTCACTTTGTAGACTAGGCTGGCCTTGAACTCACAGAGATCCACCGGCCTGCCTCCTTAGTGCTGGGATTAAAGGTATGCACCACCACTGCCCAGCTTTTTAAAAATATGTAGTGTTTTAAATAGGTATAAATCCAAAGCTTGCCCTGCTGTCTCTCTGTTGGTGTCTGGTTCATAAACAAGGGCTGCTGGTCTGCCCCTAAGGAGGGACCCACCTGCATGAGCAGGGACCTTCAGGCCTCTGCTGACCTGAGGAGTCAACAAGAAAGTCTCTCTGTGTCCTCATTCAGAACAATATTAGCCTTACTTGAACCTGGTGCTCCTGGAAAGCAGCCAATGCTAAAACTTCCCCTCCACCGTTTGTGTTCTGGGAAAGCCCTTCCCATAGCACCTGGTTCAGAGTCTAGAATGCCCTTGCTTTACCTGACTAAACCAGACCAGACCCTCCAAGTTCCCATTCTTTGCCTCATGAATGATTAGCTGGACCTTCTGTATCTTCTTTCTAATCAACATCAAACTGCAAGACTTTTCCCTCTAATGCCCTTGGACCCACTGTTAGCCTGAGCCAGTATACAGCCACTTTAAAGGTTATTAGAATAGAACTACAGGAAGACCTACATGTTGTCACTGCCCAGCCAACTCCCTGTGCTTGTGTCCTTCTGTCCTTCTATCCACAGGCCTTTTCTCTCTGGCCTTTAAGTTGCTTGAAGAGCTTGCATTCCTAGTATGCCCCTGTCATTCCAAAAGAGACTTACTTAAACTAAGGCATGTTTTCTTTGTCAGTTTTTTAATTTATAAAAAGAAACTGATAGATGTCCTAACTACTCAGTTATGGCTATTTAGAGATTAACATGAGAATCAGCTAGAAAAAGAAAACAAGAAAGCAAAAGAAATGGTGTCATAGGTAGCAAGAGGTGTCTTAGCTGAGGGTTTCTGTTTTGACTGTGTACACTGCACTGTCCTATGTCATGGGAACACATTACAAGTCTTCTTGCCTTTTTTCCATTAAAGTCTGTTCATTTGTTTCAGACAATGGATTTTATGTAGAAAACTGTAATTAAGTGTCATTTTAGAATGGTATAGATTAAGATACATTTTCTATATTTTGTTTTAAGAACTGTATTTAGCAATGCTGTGTTTGGGTCTATAGTATATGATTCTTACTGTGTTTTCTTTTAACTATACGTTGCCATTTTTCATGTTTCTCCTTAACTAGTTTTCACATTTTTATAAGTTTGGCACAGACTATGAAGACTCTAAGGCTAAGAAAGAACACTGTGAAATTTTCATTGTATAGGCATTTTACAAATACACTCATCTTTGCTGTGCTAGGTAAGCCATCTGTGCCTCTTTCAAAAACTACCCATTTCATTATTATATGTTCTTTAAAAGATGACTTTCTGTCTTTCAGCTTCTATAGTGTTTATGGTGTGGACAACAAAGACCTTCAGGATTGCAAAATGCCAATCAGTAAGTAAAATTTTAAGTATTTTAAAATTTATTAAATTTTTGGCTAGATAATTAAAATGGTTTGTTGTGGGGTATTTGTACACTGTATAAAGGTGTATTGCTGTGATTGATATAATAAGAAGCTGAATGGCCAACAGCTAGACAGGGTTTCTGGGGAGAGTAAAGAAGAGGAGGAGGAATCTAGGTGTGCAAGAGACACCAGGAGACAGAGAAGAATCAGGAGGTGAAGATCGAAGGAGAGGCAATACCATGTGATAGAATGTAGATTAATGTAAATTAATTTAAGTTGTGAGAGCTAGTTAGGTTTAAATTAAGTCTCTTGTTCTATTTAGCAGTAAGACTCAGGAGTCAAAGGCTGGGGTAAAATTATGCTAATTTAAACTAGGTGGTGATGGCACATGCCTTTAATCCCAGTACTTGGAAGGCAGAGGCAGGTGGATCTCTGTGAGTTTGAGGCTAGCCTCAGCCTGGTCTACAAAGCTACAGAGAAACCCTGTCTTGAAAAATCCAAAAAACGAGAGAAAAGAAAGGAAGGGAGGGAGGGAGGAAGGAAGGAAGGAAGGAAGGAAGGAAGGAAGGAAGGAAGGAAGGAAGGAAGAAAAAGAGAATGTGCTAACTTAGGCTGAGTAGCAACTAGCTGACCTTGTTTTTTTGGCCGGAGACACCACAAGAGGACATGCCTTTTTATTAGACAAAAAGGGGAAATATTGTGGGATATTTTGATGACACTCCTGAGACTGCCCAATAAAGTTATACTTTGAATCGGGGTAGAGCCAGGGACTGACATCCTGAAATTGGCCATTTTGAAGCCAGCAATTTGGACCGAAAAGATACACAGGAAGGAAAAGGTGGGGACTGGAATTTGCTTCTTCTTGGTTTTGGGACGAAGGAATAGACATCTGTTATGGTGTCTCTGACCAAAAAACAAGATCAGCTAGTTGCTACTCCGTCTCTCTGAGCTATCAGGTTTCTACCCCAGCCTTTGAGTCCTGAGTCTTACCGATACACAGATGATAGAGACCTATGGCTGCAGGACAGGAAGCTCCACCAGGCCGTGGGGAGCTGACTGAGGGGCTGTAGATGATATTAAAATATCAGTAGATTCTTGTGCAGCCACTAAGCCGACCAAAAAAGTAAATGGTTATTAGATTATTAAAGAATTAAAGTGTTTAAATTAATTATTTAAACAGTTATTGCTTTTAATTATAGTTTTTTTCTTTTGTGGAATTTCAAAGAGTTTAGTTTGTAAAGATATAATTTCATTGGGTATTTTACTTATTTTTTGTAGAGTTATCAAAACTTTTTTCTCTTCTAAATAATGCTGAAGCTGGGGGTGGCTCTCACTTGGTAGAATGCTTGTCTCATGTGCACAACCCTGTGTTTTATATCCCATGTAAACTGTCAGTATTTACACAGTCCTGTACAGCACTCAGGAGCCAGAGGATCAGAAGTTCAAACCAGCCTGAGCTGTATTTGACCCTGTATCATAACACCAAAAATACATACATATTTGATCAAGTTCCTCTCAAATTTATTATCCCTTTTTCTGAACTTCCTTGTACCTTTTGTGCTAGAGATGGCACCCAGGGTGCTGCACATGCTCTGCTTCTCTGAGCTACACCCCAGCCTGGCTTGGTACCTAAGTGGAATTAAACACCCAAGATGCAGTGCTGCTTTGACATCACGCTTGGCATTGCTTAGGGAGATGTCCCGTCCTTCATCTCAGTTCTCATTCAGTCACAGGGACACCCACAAAGGGCCCAGAAGCCCCACTCCGCTGCAGTGGAAGACACGGCTGAAGGAAAGAAGCTGGACCTCTTGCCAGTTCCTTCTGTAATATTTCCTGCTTGAAGTTCTGTCTGTGTTTTGATTTTTTTCCTCTAACTTTCTGTTCATGAAGGGAAATTGAATTTTTTCCTCTAAATTTCTGTTCATGAAGGGAAATATAAGTGCTCTTTAGAAGCAATGCTTACAACATAGGTTTCCTTAGAAGAAAATTATTACTTGTTTATTTGCTAGGAGGGCTTGCCAGCTGGAGAGGTCTCAGTACTGCTGTGTACTGTTTGAATAGGGCAGTTGCACAAATATCAGAAAATTGACAGTTTACGTTTGATCATCCTTGTTGTAGGACTGGATGGAGCTCTGGGTTGATGATGCATTTTGGAGCTTTCTCTTTTCTCTCATCCTTATCGTGATAATGTTCTTATGGAGGCCATCAGCGAATAATCAGAGGTAACAAGAGGGGAAATTATGACTTGCAGGCATTTGTTGGCTGCTTTCTGTGGTTGAGAACCTTAGGAGGCACAGCTCACAGAAAGCATTAGACAATCCAGAGACTTTTTTCTTCAAGGGAAGGAAATGATGCCTGTTCACCTGCAAGGCTGGAGAAGGCTGGGGTGGATGTTGTCTAACAACCTGGTGAACCTTTGCTATTCTGTGGGGCCAGCCTTTACTTGAGTCCCCCAAACCCTAAGCACTGTTTAGGCCCTAATCCTAAGTTTCATCTCTCAATGAGTAGAATCCTTCCTTATGCTTATTACAAATCCTTACCCCAAGCACTGTTATCAGGCAGCAGAACTCGTTCTTATTGCAAAGGTCACAGGTGCTTTGCTATAGAGGTGTGTTTTTGCAAGGGAATTTTGATGTAGCCATCCCTGAAACTTTGTTGTGGTAATTGTCACATGAAGACTTTTTTTTTTTTTTTTTTTTTTTTTCCCAAAGTTTTACTGTGCTTAAATGTGTAAGAAAAAAAAACCCTCTAGAGCAGACTCTAGGAATCTTGACCTAGCACCTACTCAAATGGTGCTGACCCGAGTGTCATCCTTCACCTCACACAGATCATTTCCCTGCTGACCTTGATGCTTGCAGGGATCATGACAGAAAATACACAGAGACTACTGGGAAGTACTTAGTTTTTAAGTATACTCAAGTGTGAAGACAGGTATAACAAATGGAAGACAGTAAGATAGATACGTTAAGCAGTCAGGGAAGAAGATGAAGACTCCATGAAGAGCTGGAATTATGGTATAGCTTTAAGATAGCAACAGCACAGTGAAAGACTGGGCTGGGAAAGAATGCATTGGGAGAATTGTGGAAGTCATGGTACATAGACATCGGCGAGGTGTGCAGTATAAAAATTTTTAAATCTCGTCTTGGAAGCTGCCATGTGACACAGTGAGTCACACAGTAAACCCCTTTCCATACATCTTTACATGCAAGTGTTTATTGCAAAGTCATTGGTCTGGTTCAAGGCCTTTAGTTTCTGCTATACCATCGATGGTGGGCCCTCATTAGGACTCTTCTTAGATATTCTTCTTAGATATTCTTAGATGCCTTGGGATATGAAGTGTGGTGATATATTATTTATGATTTATTAAAGCTTTCATGAAGATTCAGAAAGCAGAGTTGTCCACAAACCATAGAAGCCAGGCACACATCTTTAATCCCAGCAGCCAAAAACTAGGAGGTGGTGGTACACACTTTTAATCCTAGGACTCAGGAGTAAGAGATAGATGGATCTCTGAGTCCAAGGCCACCCCAGATCTATACAAGATTGAATCAGTCTAAAAGAGAATTAAAGCTCACACCTTTAATCCCATGACTCAGGAGAGGTATATAAGACAGGAGCAAGATCTCAGTAGGAGGATTCATTCTCCAGCCATGCTGAGGAGAGGCTTGGTGAGAGCTCTGGAGACAAGATCAGCCCATTCAGCCTGAGGTAGAGGTTAAAAGCTAGTGGCCAGCTACTTTGCTTTTCTGATATTCAGCTTGAAGTTTGGACCCAAATATCAGTCTCTGGGTCTTTTATTAATTCATATTACAGTGGAGATCCTGCATCTTTTGGTATGTGGGCGAGGTTCCTTTATGTGTTCCAGCAGATCATAGATGGGGTGGATGTTGTGATGGGCCAAGTCATAACCCTGGTTCTAGACCTGGGCAGCTGTCGGGTTGATTAGTCCACCAATTCTCCCCTGTCCTCACCACCAGTGTGAGCTTTCCAGCATTGCCCAGGCTAATTCACCCTTGCAGCAATGAGTGAGATGGGGTCAGTTCTGCTTTTACATCTCAAGGTCAGCTCTCCCCCACCTACACTATCAGGGCCACCTCTCCTATGCAGCATTCTTCTAACATATGTTTAGAAGCGTTTTTGGTTTAGAATATTTGCATAGCCTGTAAGTATCCCAATCTGAAATCCAGGATGCTCAGAGCCAAAAGCTTCTAGAGCAATTGACCTGATGCTCGGGCATGTATGAAATTTGGGATTCAGGACAGGGAGAGAGGGACCGAATGGCACAGGACTGAGTGCCAATTCAGAAATCTGTACTCTGAACTGTGGTGGCCAGCTCCACCTTCTTTTGCCTGCCTTGTTCTCCAAAGAAAGAATTATTGCATTTCTTATTAGGAAGTCTGTTTCCTTCCCCCTTCAACAATTAATAATCATATTGGTCCAGTGAGGTGGCTCAGCAGGTAAAAGCTCTTCCCATCAACCCTGCACACCTGAGTTCATTGCCTGGGACCCACATGTTGGAAGGAGAGAACCAACTCCTGAAAAGTTGTCCTCTGGCCTCCAGTTGTGTGAACACATGCATGCATATGCGCACACACAAATAGATAAATATAATAAAAATGTAAATAACTGGGCATGTTAGGTCACACCTTTAATCTCAGCCTCTCTGTGAGTTCAGGGCCAGCCTGGAGTGCATAAAAGAATTTTTAAGCCATGCAGTGGTCATGCATTCCTTTAATCTCAGCAATAGTGAAGCAGAGACAGGCTGATCTCTATTCAAAGCCAACCTGGTCTACAAAGTGACTTCCAGGACAGACAGAGCTATTACACAGAGAAAGCCTGTCTTGAGGGCCCCCTCCCCCCCCAAAAAAAGAATTAAAAATAAATACTGTTCTATACCTTTTTAAAATATACTTCTGTATCACCATGAATAGATGCATCACAGTAACCAAAGGCTGTGCAGTATGTTGTAATGTGAGTGGCACTATGTATATGTATGTGTATATATACATATACTTATGTATGTGTGTATGTACATGTACATATGCATTCAAAAATACTGGACATTTGACATTGTGGTTATCAGCAATGTTTCCTGAATGCTTTTAGAAGCACTTTTCTAATGTCCTATAAGGCAAAGGAATCTTTACAGATATGGCCCAAAAGACCTTAGGAAAGATTATTTCCATCAACAGTGCATCACATATTATGTATTTAATAATTAAAATAAAAAAGCTTAGAGAATTATAAAATGTAAATGTTCTTTAAATATAGATTCATTTGGTGATATGAAAATCATCATCAGCCCTTTAAACATAATGCTTTTTTGTCTTACGTAAACATTTTCTTCTTGAGGGCTGGAGAGATAACTCAATGATTAAGAGCACTTGTTGCTCTTGCAGAGAACCCAGGTTTAGCTTTTACTACCCACATAGCAGCTCAAAACAACCTGTAACTCCAGCTTCAGGGCATCTGATGCCCTTTTCTGGTCTCTACAGACATGAGGCATGCAATGTATTTAATACGTACAGGCAATACACTCACACACATAAGGTAATTCTTAAAAAAAATTCTACTCCTTGCTATATTGGACAATTTGTAGAATCAAGTTTGTTATAAACAGTATTTTTGAGAAGGTATTTGATCTTGTCTTGAATGTCACTAATCAGATTAGCACCTTCCTTTCAATGGAAAATGCTAAGATGGGGTAGGCGGGAGGTTGGTTATTATCTTAATGCGTAAGAAACTTGAACAGTACAGCTTTTTTATATGCAATGACTGGCAGTGATCAGGGTTAAAGTCTCCTTTGTTTTTATCTAGGTATGCCTTCATGCCCTTGATAGATGATTCTGATGATGAAGTTGAGGAATTCATGGTAACATCTGAAAATTTAAGTGCGTCATATGTTTTCTTTTCAAATGACTATTGTACATATTTTAAGAGAACAAAATCTTTACTTGAGATGCAAGGTCACATGTATTGTTTAAAATTTTTCCTATGAGGATTGGGGAGATGTCTTAGCCTGTAAAGTGTTTGCCTTGCAAGCAAGAGGACATGAGTTCTATCTGCAGAACCAATGTTTAAAAAAAGAAAGAAAGCCTGGTAGCTGGGTAGCATACTGGGGAGGCAAGTCACTGCTCACTGGCCAGCCAACCTGGCCTTCTTGACTGATTCCAGGCTAGTGTAGACCCACCACACACACGCACGCACGCATGCACCTACACACACAGGGGAGGTAACTCAGGAGTGTTTGCTAAGTACATAATAAGAACTTGAGTTGGATCCTAGCACCTACATAAGAGCCAGGTGTAACACCAGTGCTGGAGGCAAGAGGGAGAGGAGAGGCAGTGTAAACAGCAAGATTTACTGTAGGGCTTGCTGGCCAGCCAGTCTTCCTGAAACAGTGAACTCTAGACTAAATGAAACACCACCCCCTGAAAAGAAAGAAGGTGGAGAATGAGAGAAAGGCGTCCATTGAAAGGTTATCCACATGGTAACAGTGAACAGAAGACTTGGACAGGCGGTCACATTGAAAGTGCTCGGTGTTCTTAATAATCAAGGAGACACAAAACAGCAGTGAACTATTGCAAACCCCTCAGTGGTTACAGTCAGCATGACTGATAGCCAGTTAAAGAGGATGCCTCACACACCACTTACTACAAATCACAGACAGTGTAAAGTCTCTTTAAGAGAAGTGGGACAGGACTTACCCACTCTAAAAAAAAAAAAAAAAAAAAAAAAAGCTTTCATCAAATATAAAGAAAATAATTTTCATATCATATTTTGTAGCATAAGCATACCCTGCTATTTATATGGCAAGCAAGTAAAAATTTCTAAGATGTGTGTGTGTTGGGGTGCTAGTGATAAAACCTAGGGCTTCACACAATCTGGGTAAATGCTTTACTACTGAGCTCCCAGAGATGTCTTATTTTGAAATATTGTAAATCTTACACATTTATCCTTAAACTCTAAATTGAATTGGGGGAAGTGTATATGCTTGAGCTTCTCCACAGGTTCATTGCAGACCAGCAAGTTGAAAACCTGCTTGCTGTGGAATGGTTAGTTGCAGAGCCTGAGCCTGGAGGAGACTGACTGCTCAGTGAGGTAGGCCAGGGACAGGAAGGCAGACACTGCATCTTCTTAGATGTAGAAGTGGAACGATTGATCTCAGGAGCAGGGGTGACAGAGGCTGAAAGTGAGGAGAAAAAGCAGGAGCAGTAATAGACAACAGTTGCTTAAAAGGGACAGAATTTGCTGGGCGTTGGTAGCACATTAAAGCTACTGCCCTGGCCAAAGTAGCCATTGCTATTTCTTTAAAAAAAAAAAAAAAATAAGTAAATCTTTTTTTTTTCTTTTTTGGGGGTATTAAGGGTGAAGTTATAAAGGAAAGTATAATTTTATAATCATCCATATGTCTCTGTAATGTTTCTCATTGTAGCTGAAGGAATAAAACTAAGAGCTTCGAAAACAGTTTCAAACGGAACAGCCAAACCTACTTGTGATAATTTTGTGAGTATCTGTGTATTTAGTGGGGTCTCTGTCTAATACTTCAGAGTCTGTCCATGTCAGAGTCACTAGTTGTCAAAGGAGCTTTTGCTAAGGTTTGTTGTTATTAAATCGGCTGTTTCCAGGCACCGGTGCAGGCTCAGGCCCATAGCTGCAGTGTCGCTGCTGTCTGTTCTCATTTATCAGGTGCTGTGCACCAGCAGCCTGAGGTCGGGCACTTGCTGGAGGTGCAGCACCTCAGGCTTCCCTAGCCCTGTGGTGTCTGAGTCCATGTCTGGCCAGGGCTCTCTCTGCCAGGCTCATCCCAGATGGATAGGCTTTGCCTTGGTAAAAGGCAGTGGTGGCTTTTGCAGCACATCCAAGCAATTTCTTTTGAAGCTGTGTTAGGTACAGGTTGTCACCTGTTGTGAAAGTGATGTTCCATTCATTTTCCAAAACAACAGACTTTTAAAACTGTGAAAGCGTGAATAAAATGTAGACTATTTGTCTAACTGGAGGGTTGGGGGCAGCCTCTGCTCAGCACCCAGGAATGCAAAAAAAAAAAAAAAAAAAATCCTCAAATGTGGCTGAGGGCTTAGGAGAAAAATCTTATCTATTTGAGGGTTAAATCTTTCTGATAATAACTTTGTCTTCATCTTGAAGAAAAAAAAAAAAAAACCTCTCTGAAAAGTCTCTTCACAGCTTCCTAATTAGCTCTGCATTTCTTCTCATTCCTCTAAAAATCTCTAATTTTTCTCCATAACCTCCACATCTCTCTGTCTCTACACCCTTCCTCTGCTCCCTTCACTGCCCCTGCTCCCACAGCCAAACTCTGAGTAGTTACATATTACATTCCAGGACCTGACCCATTCTCATAACACGAGATAAGTCACATAGTTTCTAGGGATGTCACATTGACCCGCCAGGGGCCAGTGAGTAACACTTGGTCACGCACATAGCCTAAATGGTTAGTGTTCCCAGACAGAAAATGACATTGTAACTCAAGACTTAACAATTAATTAGCTGAGCCATAAGGGAGTATGTGCAGAAAGTCCATAGCTTCAGGGAGTTATGTCTACTAAGGTTGCTTCAAGCTCTGACTTTGAATCAGCAAAACACCTGGGAAAATAACCTCATATATTTGTCTCTAGAGGCAACCAGATATTCATCTCCAGGGGCAGCCAGCCTGCTTTGAATTTGTTCTGGGGTCTAAGATTAGCTGTCTGTGTAAAAAGCTGTCTTTGTGACTGAGAATCCTATGTCAGTATGAGTATATACTGTATTATTTCTATTTGTCAAAATTATACCGCTTAAGCAGAAATCATCTTCCTGACGATCCACAGTTATATGTGTGCTCAGTGAGTGTAAAGCACAGCAACAAGGGGCTATGGAAGAACCCCACAGCTGTTCTTATTAGGGAGGTATAGTAGTGGCACCCAAGAAAGTTATGGACAGAAACAACCAGCCATTTACACTCCGTAACCACACGGCTTTGTCAAATGCGGTTCCCCAACAGGGACTTATATGTCTGGTGGTTCAATTTGTTAAATACTAGCTGTCACTGCTGTACATTCCCACAGCCCTTTACAACCAGCAGCTCTCGGCAAGAATATAAGGCAGGGATGAGTTTATAAACTATTTTATTTATTTCTGTGTATATGAGTGTTGTTCACATGTATGTTTGTGCCCGGTGCCCTCGGGTCAGAGGAGAGAGTCAGAACATCTGGAACTGTAGTTATGGCTGGTTGTGAGCCATCACTTGGGTGCAATGAACCAACCCAGAGATCACTATGTAGACCAGGCCAGCCTCAAACTCACAGATCTACCTATCTCTGCCTTCCGAGTGTGGGACTAAAGGCCTGCACTACCACACTTGGCTCAAAAATGAGTCTTAAAATACCTTATACATGCTGATGATGGCAGTGACGCCTTACACACACTTGCACTCTGCTGCCATGGAATGACACTGTATAAAAATTACACATGTGGCAGTTTCACAGGACAAGTACTGTATGACAACACTGTTGGATTCGATGAATTCTCTTATTTTTACTCTTGGCAGTCTGTAAAATGTATTCTTTGAGTAATTTCACATGAATGTTTGCTTTTAAAAACCTCTAGTTTTACTTAGCTGTATTAGAGCTGCAGCTAGAGCGCTCTAATCTGAAAATTTAAAGCCCCCAAATTTCTGAGCATCAGCATGAAACCACAAGTGGAAAAACTACTGTGGAACGTTGTTTCATATACTAAATTCTTACAGATACTACTTAAAATCGTAAATAACTTTCATGTTTCAACGTGGATCCTATCCCTGTGCGTTTCATTATGTTTATGAAAATACTTGGAAATATAAAACATGAAATCTAAAACACTTCTGGCCCCAATAGTTTTTAGATGAGAAATATTTAAGCTGTGTTAATGTTTCCAACTTATTATTTTCTTTTTGGTAATATATAACAGTTTATTTAAAACTCAGTAGTCACAAACATGTCAAAGGGTTTTTACTCATTCTTCTAAGCTAAGTGTTGTCAACTTTTGATTAGAAATTAGAGGTCTTATTTTTCACTACCAATTTCTGCCTGGGACCCACACACAGAAATGGGATTCTGTTGCCTTGTCTCGGTCAGCAAGGTGCTTACTGCTGCAGGTAGAGCAATCCAGGTAGCCAGGTACACAGGAAAGAAAAACTTGATTTATTTTGTACTCTGATTTCTCCTTTCTAATTATAATAACTAGAAGTAAATGTCTATTAGAAGGGAAAACACTTACCTACCCCAGGTGATTGGCCTTCCTTGCCTCGTGTAGGACTATGAACACAGGCATACACACACCATTTCAGTACTTAACTGACATGGGAGCATTGTCCATTATTGTTTTCAATTGAAAAAATATAAAGTCAAGAATTTGTACAAGTTAGACATATTGAAGCAAAAGATCCAAGTGAACCTTGCTATTTTCTGTCTTACAACCCAATTCTACGTTTTCATTTTGACATCTTGAGACAAAAAGAGTAATATTCTTAGCTAAAACCAAGAAACAGAAAAATCAGCATTTTTTGTTTTTTGTCTGTTTATGAAACACTGTCACTTGGTGTGTGACATCCTGAGCCAGCTTCTTAGAGCTCATGTGGCAACTAACAAACTCCATGCATCAGAATTAGGTTTGTAAATTTACAAACATGCTTCCCCCTAAAATGTATGTTTTCAGGTGATATTTAGCAAATACTAAATAGAAGTATTTATTTCTACAGGATGAAGATTTGAAGTGGGTGGAAGAAAATATTCCCTCTTCGTTCACAGATGTGTAAATATTCTCTGTTCAAGTTTGAACCTCAGGCTGTAGTTTAAGGGGATTTCATTGGATGTTTCTCTCTCTCTCTCTCTCTCTCTCTCTCTGTGTGTGTGTGTGTGTGTGTGTGTGTGTGTCGTCACTACTTCTTGCAAAGCTAAACACAGCCCCAACCCCTCTCCCTGCCCTTCCAATGTACAACCATTTCAATACTAGTGGGCTGCAACTAACTCCGTCTCTTCCTGGTTACAGTTTCCAGAATCATCTCACTTTGTTTTAATTTTTTTATTACAGAAAAGTTCAGACATATGTAAAGCAATTTTTATATCCTGTGTATATGCACATGCATGCTCACAGGGGTTATGACAAAGGTCAGGTAACAATTTGTAGAAGTTGGTTCCCTCTTTCCCGATGGGCCCAGGGGTCTAATTCGTCACCATGTTGGTGGCGTACTTATCCACTGAACTGTCTCACGAGCCCAAGCTTTCAAGGTTTCAGAAGGAGTCTGCTTTAGTTTTCATCCCTGTGTGTTCTGTGGACTTCACTTTGTGTGGTGGTTTTATTTTTTGTGCATTTGCTTCCTTCCCCCCTCCTTTCAAGGTTCTTTACATTTCATCTTTAAACACTGGGAATTTTGGTCTGTTTGTATCTGGCACTGCAGGCAAAGGCCGAGAGTTCAGTTCTCAGGCCCTGACCGTGAAGGCAAGAGCAAGCCCCTGACATCCACACCTGTGCTCCAAGCACACGTACCTGCTAACACATGCAATAAATAAATACATCTCCAAACAAGTGTTATCCATAAAAAAGAATTATTACCTTTGATAATGTGCTTATCCCCTCATTTTCACAAAAGCACAAGTTTCTAGTTAAGGGGCAAATACCAAGACAATTGGACAATTGTTAAAAGTAAAAAAAAAAAAAAAAAAAAAAAAAAAAAGCCAAGGATTGAAAAGTAAATAGGAAATAGGTTGTGTTTGAATTCTCATGTGAGTTTTCAACCAGTTGCCTCATATTTAGTAGGATTCCCTTGCACTTGTACTTAAGCTTGTTTCTATTTGAAGTTCAAATTTTTAAAATATTTCTTTTAACTTTAGACTGAACATTTCAAAGGAACACACATTCTGGAAATCGCCCACATCCTATGTAGATGCCGGTGCAGTTTTTAAATGAGTCCCTTTCTGTGATCCAAAGGCAGAGCACTGCCAGTACCCTAGCCCTGCTTCCTCCCGGATGACCTGCAGCTTTTGTCGAGTTCACTGTTCTTGTCTCTTTTGTTTCAGGGCTCTCCCAGTCTTAGTGGACTCAGATGAGGTAAAGCTGCTTTTGCTTATTTCCTTAGAGCTGTTTCCATGTTCACAGTGTATTTCAGAAGTTAATCCTGAAAATAACCTTTTGAAGCAATTACCACCCAAGCAGGCAGGACACAGAGCTGGCCCGAAGAGTGAAGGATTGTGGGCTAAGTCTCACTTCAGAGAGAAGCAGGGTAAAAGAAGCTTGGTGTAAACGAAGAGGCCTTTTGTGTCCGTTGTGTAGCTTCCAACACATGTAGATAATTTATTGGAATAGTTTCTTTCCAGCTTTATTTACTAAGCTTGAAATTTAACTAAAGGCTTTTGGGGGTTAGTTATTGGTCAACTAGACATTGCAGGGTAGCCCAAGGCAGGGCACATCTTCAGTATATGGATTAAAGGACAAATGACGAAGCTTCGGCTCATATAGAGGAGGGGTGGCTATTAGCAGTTGGTGTACAGTGTTGGCGGCAGAGCAGGAAGGGAGATGGCTCTGAGGTGGTACTGTGTTCCTTTGTGGCAGGGTGACAGACAGGGTGGAGGAGGTCTCGCTAAATTAAAGAGTGTGGGGCCTGTGGTTCTTATCTGATATTTCCCCAATGTTAGGGCTGCTAAAAAGATTAAATATGGTGACTTGTAAGATTAAATGTATTAGTAGGCTCTGGTGTAGTCCCAACATTTGACACCTGTCTTTTTTCCCTCTAGGAAATTATGACCAGATCTGAAATAGCTGAAAAAATGTTCTCTTCAGAAAAGATAATGTGACTGGGACCTGCAGTGGACGGCTTAATATATGTTTTACTGTGTTGTCTTGGAGATTTGTGTACGCGAATGAAGAATTCAGGTGTGGGAGGGCCTGCCACCCTCATAAAGCCATCTTTAGAACTGACTCATAAAGTCAGTTTCATTGCCATTAAGTTGCCTGAATTTGGAAATAATCTGATAAGTCTTAGCAGTGTGTACACAGATGTGAGTTAGGTGACGGCTATTGGCATTTGGATTTGTGGTCTCAGTCTTCTTCAGAACAAAGAATCTGTAGCTGGATGTGGTTGTACATGCCTGGCATTTGAAATCTCTGAAATCAAGGCCAGCCTGGTCTACATAGTTCCAGGACAACCAGAGAGAGCTATGTAGTGAGACCCTGTCTCAAAACAACCACACAAACAACAAAAGTAAAAAAAACAAAAGAATCTATGAACACTCTTTCCCCTCTCCGCTTTGAGATAACATGCTTCTCCTGAATGCTCCACAGCAGTGTTCGTCTTTTCTAGTGGTGATTTTATTCGAGTTTTTATACTGAGGTGACTTCATATTGGAACATGAGCATGTTCATATGTTTAACCCTGTTCCCTCTGCTGGTGTACACAAAGCTCTTATTTGTAAATACCACCACGCACTTCACACCATGGAGTCTGAACTCAGGGGAACACAAGTGCACAATGAGACACGTATGTCCACAGACTTGCAGGCCACGGGTATATTTGCTGCTGCTAATTCTGCTGTGACCCCTGGCCATATGGCTCCCCTAAAGCACTTTCTTCCCAGCCCCTTGGTGCAGCATTCCTTGTGACCCTTGTGGGGACTTGCACAGTATCAGATTGGTTACACATTCTTGGTGATTGCCATTCCATAATGAAAACATCTAACTATACCATGCATCAACTTACCAGCCCTCCCTCCACCATACTTTACAGCTTGTTTTGTTAAATTATGTTTATAATGTATGATTGACAGTTTGTGTCTATTATTTTTAAATATAGAATGTTGTAGACTTGAAAGGCATCTGAATGTAGTGTTATGAAAATGTGAATGCTACTTTTGTGACCAAAGATAACAGGCTGACAACATTTAGGGTCTTGGGGCTTTCCTCTGGAGGACTCCTGGCCTTGTGAATTAGAACAACTCGTAATAATTGAGGAAACATGGAAATCTGACCAGGAACGCTTAACCACAACATGCAGTGATTTCCACTGTGATGCCACAAAACAAACCTATCTTTCAGAAGCCTACTTTCTGAGTTTATTTCCTGTGTACTCATATTAAAGGGGTTGCTAGAGGTCTGTTTCTGTAGTTTATCCCTTGAGAATGTTTTTCCATGGTGAACACGGGAACAGCAGTGTTGGCAGACCTGGTGGAGAAAGGCTGGCTCACAGTCCCGCTGTTTGCTGGCGCTTCCCGGGGGGAGAGTGGCCAGTTCAACCATGGTGGGTCCACTCCTGTCAGTTTCCACCACAGGGATGGCTGCTGCCCACTGTGCTTCCCTGTGTGCTTGTCCATTTTGGCTTTGACATAGTTCCCCTTCTAGCCAGTTGTTTGAGGACGCCCCTTGAGGGGTGTGGGTTGCAGGGTTTCGCTGTAGCCCAGGCTGACTGATGATGTATTTGCTGTATTTGATGCCCTGGCCTCACAGAATGAGGCAGCTCACCACACTCACATTGCCTGCAGTTGAGTATTTCTGCTTACAGCCAGCAGGAACCACACATTGTGCAGAGTGTGTCTGGGGAGTTGATGGCCAGAGAAATGCTTTTGATACCAACTCAGTAGTGTTTCTTTAAAAAAAAAAAAAAAAAACAAAAAAAAAAAAAAAAAAAAAAAAACAGGAACGATAAATGATGCTGCCTCTGGCATAGCCCCAGGCTGAAATGAACACTTTTGTTTCCATCCAGAGCTAGTGGCGGTTCATTTTAACATCCCTAGAAATGTTTTGGATGGCTGTGTGTGGTGTCTGCTGCTTTTAGTGATAATTGTGTCATGTGCTAATGTTAAGTGACCTGAGTTGAGTATTTCTTGGGGGGCCTTCTTAGCCCCAGCGTGTTGTCCCTACACAGTCAGTGTAGCTTGCAAGGACTGGGAGGTCATTCAGGGCTGCCATGTAGCTCCTCAGTCTCCTTCCTCATCTGCCCCGAATCTCTGACAACACTGGGACATTCCAGCTCCGTTTGTTCAGGATGCTGTTGGCTGGACCTCCCGGTTAGTTGAGAGGTCTGAGGAGAAGGCTCCAGTTTGGTGCTCAGACTTCTTGTTATACAGTTCATGCTAGATTTTGATGATCTTTGAAGTTTGCTTGAGACATTTTTCATTATTTGAATTAGGTTAATATTTAAATATGTGCCTTCTGGGGTAGTTATTATATTTCAATAAGAAACAAGAGTTGGAAATTGTCAGCTTGGGAGTTGGTAGGATGCCCCCATGCTTTTCCTGAACTATTTGCTTTTGTATTTTTTTTTTAACTTTTTTTTTTTTATCCTGTGGAAAGTGCCACCTTTCTGTCTGGATTATGGTACATCATGTTTAGACTACTATAAGGTCAAGATTAGACTTAATGTGTACATACAGAGTTGATTTGGAGCTGTTGACCTAGCTGTCTATGCCTGAAGCTGAGAGAGACCATGCTAGGTTTTGTCTCCCATTCTGATACTCGTGTCTGTTTGTGATTGACAGCATGCAGTAAGCAATACCAAACACCTAGCCTTACATCTACAGAGGAAGTGTAATATTCAAAATTGTGAACATACAGATGTATATGAATGACAAAATTAGATTTCTAAGGAAGTGTACATTATAGAACAGGAACTTGATACTGTATTAAGCTTCTTTAGATCTAGGAGAACATTCTTTGTGGGGGGGGGAATTTAGAGGTTAAAATATATTCTCTATTTAAAAAGATTAAATTATTATTTGGAAGAAAATTCTTTTGAATGTAGAACACAGCAATTTAAAGGACTTTTGTTTGAAAACAAATTGTATTTTTGTGCCTTAATATTTGTTTTTTTTTTTAATAAATTGCTTTCTGACATTTGGAGATTGTTTTCTGAGATTATCTGTTAGTGCTACCTCATGAAAATCTGCAGAAAATGCAGACTCTAGGAGATGGCAAGGCATGGAATTCTTTAAAAGGGAAGTACAGCAAAAAGTCAGAAAAATGTTCAGCCTCAATTGTGATAGAGCACAACAAAACAAGGAAATGTTTAAATAAAGTTAACTTAAGTTTGTACACCCGTGTGTATTTCTATGTATTCATACGTGTGTTTGTGTGAGAAAGACCAGGCATCGCTCAGTCTAATGAAGTGAGACATCATGATGACATCATTAACTCAGTCTTTGTGAAAAATCCAGCAAAGTTTAAGACCTTTGAATAACATCTATTCTTTTAATGTTTTCAAACATGTTTCAAAATACAGAGTAAGGTTTCTGCACATACACAAAACCTAGAGACAAGCGAAATGTCAGCACCAGACAATAGTGAGTGAACTGGCCCTGTCCACCTCTTACAGAATGGTGCCAGCTTTAGCATAAAAATGAAGAGTTTATGAAACAGGACAGTATACATGAAGCATGTGCTTTAGCACATCTGCAGAGGGATGAGTGCCAAGGGCTAAAATGGCCCCACAGCTGTGCTGCCATTAAGTTCAGGTACCATGACCACAACTGAGTTCCAGCCCTTCAGAAAATTACAGTCAAAGTTATCTGTGGGCGGAAGAAATGGCTCTGTTTTTGAAGAGGACCTGGGTTTTTCCAGCACCCACGACAGCTCACAGTTGTCCATAACTCTATTCCCAAAGGATTAGATGCCTTCCTCTGGCCTTAGGGCATTACACAGCATGTATGTGTACAGGTACATGCAATCAAGAAACTCATACACTGCGGGGGGGGGGGTGTTAAACTGATATGGTGGTGCATGTCATTAATCTTAGTATTCTAGAGGCAGGTGGATCTCAGTGAGTTCAAGGACAACTTATTTTATATGAGGAATTCTAGGCCAGCCAGAATAACATAGTAAGACCCTGTCTCAGAAGGAAAGAAAAAGCACATGATAAAGAAAAAAGGAGAAGCCGGTGTGGCCTTAGGGCACAGGAATAAAGTACATCCTGCTGTAAGCAGGTGTGGAGGGAACACTTGACAGCCTTGAGCTGTGGTGGGGGAACAACACAATAATCTCAGAGGAAACACCTGAGCTGCTGTGATAATTTGGGAGGGTCAGGAGTATTTGCAGGACCCCAGGCTTTGTTCACTGCTTACTACCCAAATTTCAAAGACGTATATTTCTATAACTCCTCCCTTGGTTTAAAGATGAGAGAGTGGAGTCACCCTCCTGGCAACGTGAAGACCCAAGCATCATATTAGCCGGAACTGTCTGTGAAAGAGTGTCCTCAGTCCTGGGGACAGGGGAAGTTTTGTTTACTTAACTAGTCAGACGTGAAGATGATACAGAAAGGGCCTGCCAGGTGTGCAGCCTGCTTACACAGCAGCTGAGGTAGATATGCAAGCTGCAGCTGAGACTGGGCTGTGGGGAGGCAACAGAGACTTGGCTGAGAAACCCCACCTGAAACATCCAACGGTTGACAAACTCATATTGAAAGGAAGTTGCCCAGGACAAGCCCCATCTTAAGTGATCATAGATTCACAATCAAATTTCCTCTATCACAGGCCATCCTGAAGCTGAACTCAGATGAAAATAACCTTGACAGTAGTTCCTCAAACTCAGTTTATACACAGGGAAACATACCCAAACTATTCAGCAGGTGGTGCCAAACACCATCCCTGAAAAATTGTTTTTCTTTCCTTTAACCAACTAATAAAAACATTTTTATTTACTAAATGTCAGTCTGTAAATTTGAAGATAAAAGATCTTAAAGACATTAAGCATGCTACGTTTAAAAATTTTTATTTATCTATGTTTATAACACTGATTCTGTCTACATAGCCCTGGCTACAATGGAGCTTACTGTGTAGACTAGGCTGGTCTCAAACTCAGATCCACCTGCCTCTGCCTCCTGAGTGCTGGGATTAAAGGTGTGTGCCACCATGTCCAGCTCATGCTAAAACTTTAAATGTTAGACTTTTAAAATCTGTTTAAGAATAAGCATCAGTCCCTAGGTTCAATTCCCAGTACCATACTCAGAATATGGAAGAGCTCTAAAGAGCAGAGTAGCTGGAGGGAAGAAATGGGAAAAGGGGTGTGGTCGTTTGAATGCAATTGGCTCCTATAGGCTCATAGAGAGTGGCATTATTAGGAGGTGTGGCTTTGTTGAAGTAGATGTGGTCTTGTTGGAAGAAGTGTATCACTGTGGAGGTAGGCTTTGAGGTCTCCTATGCTCAAAGTACTGCCCAGTGTCTCAGTCTACTTCCTGTTGCCTGTATCTTGCCTGTATTCTATATCTTGTAAGATATAGAACTCTTAGCTGCCTCTCCAGCACCATGTCTACCTGCATGCCACCATGTCCCACCATGATAATGGACTGAACCTCTGAAACTGTAAACCACCATCTCAATTAAATGTTTTCCTTTATAAGAATTGTCATGGTCACAGTGTCTCTTCACAGCAATAGAAACCCTAACTAAGACAAGGGAGCAAGAAGAATTTAGCTGGGACCTGGTGAGGGAGGCCAGTACAAGGGGAAAGAGGGAAGAGGGATAAGTAACATTAAGGGCACTTGTAAAAGTCTTGGGGAAGCATTGTTTTATGTTAACTTAAAAATACATATGTGTGTACACATATTAGATGATAGACTGGATGAATGGATGGGTGGATGGATGGATGGGTGGATGGATAGAGAGTGTTTGGATGGAATTATGCCACTTAAGGTGACAATTCTTTCCCCAAGAATCATAGACTATCTAACACAAACCTTAGTGCAAATTCTCCCTTCAATTTGTTGGTTAGGGGATATCTAGAACAAACCCAAAACAATATAGGGTATTGCCATTGCCCTTTGTTATCTTCCAAAACTTGAAGGGGAGATCCCACTGCTGAAGACACCACACACATTTTGGAAACAGTACTTGGATGAATCTCCAACCGAAACTGACTCAGAAGCCCCTTCCCTGAGTATGCACAAGAGTATGCACAGTTGCTATGCAAACTCTTCTCCCTATGCTATGCAAGGGAGAAAAGCAAGCAATAGTCCTACCCAGCTGTGATACTTACAAAACACAACAATGAGCAGCATGACAAGATATCTCCACAAAGCCAGGCAGTGGTGGTGCACGCCTTTAAACCCAGCACTTGGGAGGCAGAGGCAGGTGGATCTCTAAGATTGAGGCCAGCCTGGCCAACAGAGCAAGTTCCAGGACAGGCTCTGAAGCTTCACAGAGAAACTTCTCTCCAAAACAAGACAAAAATGCCCCACAAGATATAAGGCATACACTTGGATATCAGGGCCACTCAGTAGAGAGGAATTCAAACCTGATACTTAAACCCAGCCAGCTTCATTGTGAAGTCATTGACCCTACTAGATAAGGAGAACCTACTATTATCACTTTCTTAAACCAGTATAATGTCTTTGTAAAGAAAAGTATTTATGTGAATGTGTGTTTTGCTTGCATATATGTCTGTGTACACAGGCATGCCTGGTACCCACAGAGGCAGAAGAGGGCACCAGACTCCCTGGAGCTACAGTTACAGATGGTTGTTAACTGACAATTGGGTGCTGGGAATTGAACCAGTGTCCCTCTGGTAGAATAATCAGTGCTTCTAACCACTGAGTAAATCTCTATAGTCCCTGGTATAATTTCCAGCTACATTCTAAGGCTTACACTTGAACAGAT